TAGGTGCCAATTTGAATCCTAGATCATCCTAACATCATTTTGTCAATTAATTCGCTCTAGGCACAATTTCCATTTCTACATAATCCCACCATTTTTTCTTTGATTTCCAAAGTATCCAACCATCACACAACCCTTCTAATTATCATTTAACAACACAACATATCAATCATTCAATTTAAACACATCAAATCCTCATTTTACTCATTATGGCCGAATTGCACATAGGCATACACCAAGGATTATTCCATCCAATCCAACCACTCCACACATCATACAATCCTATTATTAACCCTTATATACATCCAACAACTCAATTACATAATCCTATAACAATACAAAATCACAAAGTGTTGGATTTCTCATCAAAATTTCCTAAGTTAAAACTCAATTTTCACCAATAAATTTTATGACATACAACACCCCAAAACATCATTCTAAGACATATTTATCTCACATTTTTCATTTAAGCTCTCTGACTACATCAATCACACAAAAAGCCTTTAGGGTTCATGAAATTGCATCAACAAATCCAACCAATAAAGTGTGATGAAACTTACTTAAAATCTTGGTCTAGGGCTCCTCCACAACATACTAAACCATTGGAGCATCAAACAACTCCATGAGTGCAAATCTACACCAAAGGGCCGCGGGTTTGGGGGGGGCGGATTTTCTCAAAATCTAGGGGGTTTCATGGGAAACCAATGGTTGGATTGGGTTTGGATGATGATTTACTTAAACTTTCATGTGTAACACTTTGATTTGTGGAGGAGATTTGATGGTGTTTGAAGATGATGAAGTTTTGTGCAAAAACTTGCACTTCCATGGGTAGCCCGCGGGTTTGAGAGGAGGGAGGGGAGGAGAGTGATAATGCAATAGTATCCTTGCCATGTGGCAAGGTCCACTTAAGTGGGGTGGGTCCCACCGCCACCTCACGCGTTTTCAAAATAATTCAAATCTTCCTCTGATTCCACTAAACGTCCAAGATTTCATAACCTATTTAGAAACTATAATTTTTAACATTAACCATTGTCCTTTAATTACCCTTGATCAGATGAATCCGGAGTTTTCCGGTCGTTTGGAGAAATTGCAGTTTTAAACTGTTATGCGCGTCGTAGGCACGCTTCCCCAAACTCACTAATTTTTGTCAAATTTCATCAAAAATCATGTTTCCTTGTGCCATATACCATTTATAACTTGTATTTAAAACCTAGAGCTCAAAACTCAATCGGCACGCTTTACGGTGCAACTGTACTGCAATATTTTTACCCGGTAAAAACCTTATTCATTGAATTTTCCAAAACTTGCCTAACCACTCAATTTTTCGTTCTGAATCCATTTCCAGGGTTATTTTTATCATTTAAGACCTTCTACTCAATTTTAGCTTCCTAGGGTTGCGTGTTTGGCTAATTACTGTTTTACCCTTCCTTTGTATTTTGACCTAATTTTCAGGATTTTCGCTAATCCTTCCCTTTAATCCACGTTTAATATATTAATACATGTTTTAGAAATGCGAGGTGTTATACTTGTGACGTTAGTGACTCAGCTAACTAATGGTCTACCTGTGCTCCGTTAGTTGGGTCGTCAGATGCCAACTAACAGAAGGACAAACATTGCACTTTTTTTCAAATATTAGGGACTAAAACGAGCCTTTTTTATTGTTGGGGACTAAAATGGGCCTCGTGAAAATTTTCAGGGACGAAAAAGGGTATTTACTCTTTAAAAAATGAAAACAATGTTTGAACAGTACTGACCATTACTTTTTTTTGGTGGGTAAAATAAAAGTACTACACAATACTTTATTAAGGCCAACTTCTTATTAGAAATCCTAATTGGGAATTTGGGATCTAACTACAATATATTCTCATTCCTTAAGAATGGTATTTTCAGTTTGACCCAAGTAAGGTATTCCTAGCATATCACATTCAAACTTAAAGAGTTGAATGCCTACAAAAGTATGACAGAAAATGAATTTTCAATATGGGTATTTAGAATATATGCATTGTGCAATTTAAGAAATGCTAACTGAAAAGTTAACAAAGAGTGCAACCATTGGCAAAGATTGTTGCAACTTGCAACTTCCGTACAACAACCCTCATTAGTAAAATACGAAAAAGAAATTAATTAGGTGTTTAATTAGATTAAATACGTATTTAATTAAATCATGAGAGATGAAATTATTTAATTAAGATTATAATTTATAAGATGCTTTAGGTTATGTTAAATATGTTAATAAGATTCAAAAATAATTATTAGATACCAATAAGCCAGATGTAAGCAATAAGATGCATGAAGTCCATCACAAAAGATAGTCAGTAGTTATGGCACCTCAGATTTGGTCATCTTGGATTCACTGACCTGAAGCTATTGTCAAAGGCAAAGATGGTGAGCAGATTGTCACAAATAAATCATCCAGATCAATTGTGTGAAAGCTGCATGAAAGGAAAGCAACACAGACAAAGCTTTGAAGTTGGAAAATCATGGAGAGCTAGAAGCAATGTTGTTAAGATCGAGATCTTACCTAAGATCGTGAGGGGATAAAAAAATTGTAAATCTTAAAATCGACACGGATCGTAAGATCGTACCAGTGCATATAAAATATTAAAATTATATGAATAATAAAATAATTTATGATATAATCATATTATATTAAGCTCTTTTGTTTAAAGTAAAATATAATTTATCACATAATCCTTATTTGGAATAAATATACTATAAAATATAAAAACTAATCGAAGAAAGAATATAACCTTTTATTTTATCCCAAACACCTAATTTAGTAAGCAAGTTTATACTAGAAGATGAAGTAAAAGTAAAGAAAGAAGAAAGTAAAAGAATTTACGGGTCATAATATGTGGCTGTTAGATAATTTAAAAACTCCTAATGAGTGGATGGAGAGCAATCCTAAAGAAAGCCCATCGTAGCAGCTCAAAATCCAAAGGACATTTTTTTTTCCTTATCTTCTCCAGCACTCACTCTCTCTCTCTCTCTCTCCCTTCAAAGTTCAAACAATTCTCTTAATTTTTTTTTAATGATGTTCAAACAATTCTTTTCTTTGTTTTCATCTTTGTTTAATCGATTTTGTATCTCTTACTTCTCTCTTTCAAAGTTCAAATTTGCTAGTAAGTGATTTTTCTCTGTGGATCTCTGACGACTGCCGGTGATGGTGGGCACCTTCCTTTTCTCTCTGGTTGGAGGCTATTTGAGTTCAATCGCAAAAATGGTGGGATCTTACAATCCCATCGATTCCGCGTTCTTGCACGACGATCTCACTCAGTTGAAGAACAAAACGATCCTACACACGATTTGACTCGCAGCAATGGAAAAAAACGTAGAATCGATCGATCCACCGATTTTATACGCGATTTTAATAACATTGGCTAGAAGACCATTGCGGCTGGTTCACTCAGATATTGCTGGTCCATTTGACATTCCATCACTTAGAGGAAACAAATACTATATAACTTTTATTGATGATTTAAGCAGAAAAGTCTGGGTGTATATAACCAAAGAAAAATCACAAGCTCTTGATAAACTCAAAGAATTTAAAGCAATGGCTGAAAAACAAAGTGGTTAATATCTGAAGACACTCAAAACAGATAGAGGAGGTGAATATACTTCCAAATTGTTTGATGAATTTTGCAGACAGCATAGAATAATTCATCAATTGATAACTGCCTACACTCCACAACAAAGTGGCATTGCAGGAAGAAAGAATCGTACAATTTTTAACATGGCGAGGAGCATGCTAAAGGAAAAGCAACTGCCAAGAACATTTTGGGCTGAAGCTGTTCAATGTGTTGCCTATCTACTAAACCAATGTCCAACAAAAAGAGTACAGTTCAAGACTCCAAATGAAGCATGGAATGCCAAGAAACCAAAGTCATCTAAGAATTTTTGGTTACATAGCATATGCCCATATTCTTAATCAAAGGAGAAAGAAACTAGATGATAAAGAAAATAAATGCATTTTCATTGGCTATGACCTTAGGCGTAAAGCATACAGACTCTACAATCCTCTAACCATAAAGGTGCTCATTTCATAAGATGTAGAGTTTGATTAAGCAGATTACTGGAGATGGAGTGATGAAGAAAAGAAAGTGGAAGGTCTACTTTTTAAAGATGATGATGACTCAAAGGATCAAAAAAATGAAGAAAGAAATGAACAAACTCCTCCATCGAGTCTTACTCCAACAACTCCAATAACTACACCATCAACATTAAGAAGCAGTAGCAGCAACAACAATTTAGGGGGAGCACTAACAAAGATGAGAAGCTTAAGTGATATCTATGATGCTACATATCTGTTACAAACTACACTTGATTATTCATTATTTTGTTTAATGTCTGAATGTGATCCGACGATATATGAAGAAGCGGCAGAAGATGAAAAGTGGAAGAAAACCATGAATTATGAAATTGCTGCAATAAAAAGAAATGACACATGAGAGCTCACAACCATGCCTAAAGGTCATAAGCCGATTGGTGTAAAGTGGGTGTACAATACAAAGATCAATCAAGAAGGGAAGGTGGAGAAGTACAAGGCAAGATTGGTGGCTAAAGGTTACAAACAGAAATATAGAGTTCATTATGAAGAGGTGTTTGCACCAGTTGCAAGGATTGACACTATTAGACTTTTTACCGTAGTTGCAGCACAAAAGCAATGGAAGATATATCATATGGATGTAAAGTCAGCTTTCCTCAACGGTTACTTTGAAGAAGAAGTCTATATTAAGTAGCCACCAGGATATGTTTTAAAGAGAGAAGAAGATAAAGTTTATTAGTTGAAGAAGACACTACAAGGATGGAAGCAAGCCCCGCGAGCCTGAAACATAAGAATATATGAGTACTTTCAGAAAAATGGTTCTGTGAAAAGCCTATATGAGCATGCTTTGTACACACAGAAAAAGGAAGATGGAGATATAATGATTATGTGCCTATATGTGGATGATATGATCTTTACTAGAAACAATCCAGGTATGTTTTATAATTTCAAGAAAGCAATGGCTAAAGAGTTTGAAATGAAAGATGTTGGAGAAATGTCTTACTTTCTTGGAGTAGATGTGAAGCAAATTGACGAAGGAATTTTTATGTCACGTAAGAAATATGCAAAAGAAATTTTGAGCAAGTTCAGAATGAAAGATTGTAAGTCGGTCTCCACACCCATAGAAGCAGGAATGAAGTTGAAAGCTGATTTAGATAAGGAGCCAATAAATCCTAAACTATTCAAGAGCCTAGTCGGAAGCTTAAGGTACTTAACTTTTACTCGACCAGATATTATATTTGCAGTTGGCTTAGTTAGCAGATACATGGAGCAACCAAGACAAGATCACTTAAGTGAAGCCAATAAAATTTTGAGATGCATTAAAGGAACTGTTTATTATGGATTGTTGTTTACACACTCTAAAGATTCAAAGTTAGTTGGCTATTCATATAGTGATTATGGTGGAGGCACAAATGATCGAAAAAGCACATTAGGATAAATATTTCACTTTGGCTCAACAATATTTTCATGGTCATCCAAGAAACAACAAATTGTTGTCCTTTCATCAAGTGAAGCAGAATATATGGCTGCAGCAGCATGCACAAGTAAAGCAATTTGGTTGAAGAATATCTTGAATGAGTTGCATCAAAAGCAGGAAGGTCCAGTCACTATATATGTGGACAACAAGTCAGCAATATCACTTGCAGAGAATCCAGTCTCTCATAGCCACAACAAGCATATTGAATCAAAGTATCATTTTATTTGGGAGCAAGTTAAAAACAAAGTTATGAAATTAGTCTACTGTAGAAATGAAGAGAAACTTGCAGATATTTTTACAAAGCCATTGAAGACAAATATATTCCACAAACTCAAAGATATGATTGGTATGCAAAGGGGAGTGTTAGAAGACAAACCCTATTTTGCTTTGTCCATTAACTTTAAATGATTGTGGTTGCAACTATAAAGTGGAAGACAAACTAAAAACTCAACGATAATGTGATTTGTACAGGCTATTATTCAACTAAAGATAAGAATAATTTGGATGGTGGGGTGACAAAAGAAAAGAAAGGGAGCTGGACATATATGTGGAAGGTAGACTGCTGGACAATTATGTAGACATGTATTATTAGATAGTGCTGTGATTATTTTGTTTTAAAATGATAACAGGGCAAGCACTAGTCTGAGTGGGTAATCATTTTCATATAATTGTGTGTGTAGTGTGCTGTATTTTAATATTTAATTATATTTTGTCAGGCCAGAATTTTAACTATCCAAGCTATAAATTGAAGCTCTTGTGTCGTGTCTTAAATATAGAACTGTAAGAGAATAGAAATAAAAAAGAATTCTTTGTGTAGTGTGTCTTAGGTGTAATTGAAGCAATAGAAAAGAAAGAGCAGCAGGTGTTGCGTGAGAGAAAGAAACAAAAATAAGTGTGAAAGTGAAAGTCAGAAAAAGTGTCGTACCAATTATATGTGAGAGAGTGATTGTGAGATTCAATAAAATGTATTTTGTGTTTGTATGTTAGTGAAATTTTAATACAAGAGTTTCTTCTTCATTCTTTATCATCTCTATTAAATTTCCAACATAAAATCACTAAAGTGAGCAGGGGCATGACCATCACCAGGGAGGTCGAGCAAAGTACAGTCATGAGCAATGGAGAACAAAGTACATGAAAGATGGACGATATAATGATTTAAGGAATAAAGGATGTCACCAACCTAATCAAGAACATAGGTAAAATCACTATGCATGTAACCAAGAATACTAGAGTTTTCACTAAGGAGCACGTCATATGGAAGGACCTCTTAATCCGTTTCGAGGAGATATAAAATATTGTCAGGGCTAGGAGCAGCTATACGAGTTCTATGGAGTTCATCAAGGAGGAGCGCAACTATAGAATCAACAGGTGATACTATTTCCCCGAGCACCCTACTCGTATACTGAATATACCCCACATTTCAAAGTCGGACTCATTGGGCATAGACCTTCTGGACCCTCTCTTACTTGGCGTCTTCGAGCATAATCAATTTCGGCTTGGTTTAGACAGCCGAATGACTTGAAGACATATGATGGGAATTTTGATCTCAAAGAATTCATCACTATTTTCTGTTCTACAATGTTGTTATATGGAGAGACAGATTTGTTGTCACGTAGAAATTTTCCCGTTTTCTTGAGGAAGCAAGCTCTGAAGTGGTTCACTATATTTCCAGATAATTCTATTGACTGATAGGCTTATCTAGCTCATCGGTTCACACAATAGTTCGCACACTGCGATGCTCTGCCAAAGACCTCTCATGCTTTGTGTGGAGTAAGACAGAGACTTGGAGAGAGCTTGAGAGAGTATTATGAACGCTTCCAGACAAGTTCATAGATTGGAGACACAAACGTATTTGCTCTTGTTCATCACTGGGCTACAGTAAGGCAGACTCTCCAATTCACTAACAACAAAGAGTCTTACTATAAAATAAAAGCTCTTAGATAGGATTAGGAATTACATAGCTTTGGAGGAGTTCCAGGCTTCACAAAGAGAAATAGAACACGATTTCTGGGAAGCGGTACAAAGCTGCAAGACAGATAAGCCAGCTTCCAAGCCGGCATTTCCGACCTAAATAATCATTACAAAAATAGGTGGCATACCACCCCTTCAAGAACTCGGAGAAGAGCATAATTTTGTTACCATCTTCACCAATAGTAAATTGATCGGAAAAAAAAAAAAAAATTGATCGGAGCCTTCCACATAGTTGAAGATGTCGATCTTATCAAGCCCTTAAAGCTTGACTCCCGAGTTGTTGAAGACGACTTGGTCAACCACATGGCCATGGACCTAGTGACCAAAGTTTTCAATGTTTTCATCCGCCTTCTCCACTATGACCTCCTTATGAAGGGTTTCGACACTCATTTCTAGCTCGGTTACCCGGAGGCCGGCTTCATCGCAGTCCTTCTTTATTTGATCCTTTTCTTGCTGCAAGTTGGCATAATTCTTTTCTACCGCCTTCACTTTTTCTTCGGCAGTACCTTTTTCCTACTAGGCTTGTGAAAGTTGAAGCTTTAGTGCTTTATTTTCTTTGGTGGCTTCTTCCACCTTCTTTTGTAGGGCATCCTGCTCGAAGCCGAATTTGCTTTTCAACTTTTCCAAGACCCGGATGTCATTTAATAATTCATTGTGGTCAATTATATGGAGCAGAGCCATCTCGTAATAGGTGGTAGAGTTGAGCGAATAATCCCTTAATGCCACATATTTCTTAATCAACTCATCTGTGGACATCGGATCCCACTTTTCACGAAGGCCAGTAGTAAAATACAACTTCAGTTTGTCAAAAGATTTCTAAGCATTAGGTCTAGTTGGACCAGAAACTCCTGTCTGAGAGGAAATCTCCCGACTTGATTATGCTTCCTTCTTGGGCAATGTCACCCGAACCTGTTTTCGATGTAGGAGCTTAGCAAAGTCGGTTTGAGAATCAGAATCGACAAAAACTGGTTCCGAAGGAATGGAGCCCGTAACTGACCTAGCCAGAACAGTAAAAGGTAAACCTTGGCCGATGATACGAGAAATCGTGTCTTGAGATACCACAGGGGATTTTGCTAACTTCTTTGTGATAGCTTTCCTCCAGGAAAAGAAATCATCATTCATGGCTTCTTCTACAAAGAAAGATGAACTATTAGTAAGTATAGAGAAAATATCAATGCAAATAATGTCAGTAAAGTACTCACCGAGGGCTACACAAAATGCCTCTAAGGAGGAACCCGCTTCTAGAATCAGGCAAGAGGTTATTGCTACACCCTCTTTAGTCAACTTGGTGTCTTTATTAAAAAACCATTCATTAGTTCGAAGTTTGTCAGCCTCCAGGTTTTTAGAATGGCGAAGGTAAACTTGTGCATAAGGAGTATAATAAGCTCGGTTCCAGGAAAGAGGGAACCAGGGAGAGTGATTTTCATTCAAAAAAAATGGATGAGGGGTTGTAGATGTCGAAGAAGAAGAGCCAGAAGAAATAAAGGCGAAAATCTTGAAATAATCATGCTTAAAATTCTTCAAATTGTCTTCAAATGCGATATACCACCTTAAACTCATACGAGCTTTTATAGAAACCCAACCACGACGATTGCTACCTTTATTCGTAGCATTATAGAACACAACGAATAAACAAAAGAAAACTTTACAAGAGTAGACGAATCCGCAAGCTCGGTATATCAATTCAAAACCGGTAGAAAACATCATCCATTTGAATGAAGTTGAGAAGGTGCCACATTGAGATGTCATAGGACGTCTACTTGGAAGTCGTGAAACGACAACCGAACACCCAAATCAAAAAAAGCATTTATATACAAAGAATGAATGAGTAAGTAGCGTCAACATCTAAAAGAGTGAGCTCACTGAGCATATTTTGAAGAAACTCTGGATTATTTTCATACGACAAACGAAGACCTAAAGCCTTCTTGTCCACCTATTCTAGGCCGGCAAGGTTAGTTGGAGAATCAAATAGGGAAGAAGGAAGGCTACAGTAAGGTCGATTTCTCATGATTTTCCTATTATAAATGGTACTATTCGACTCTTGGTCAAAAGGCGTTCAAATAGATGCTGAACTTCCTAAAGTATATTATTCTATAGGCATAAGGTATAAAGGAACCCTAATCCGCTCAAAACCTGAAATGGGAAACATGGGGCTCTCAATCGATGGCCTAAGCCCTTATCTTCCAAACTATACTCCCTTCTCATTCATTTAAAGAAAGCCAATCGACGAATAAAATCAGACTCGCCTAAAATTCCTCTCACCCTATTGTGACTATCTGTCACACTAGTCTAACAAATAAAAAAATGCAATGTAGTTCGAATCTCACCAACACCATCTGGGAAGGGGCATAAGTACCGTAATCCTTGGACTCGCGCCCGAACTCTGGATTAGTCTCATAGGCGGCTCAAAGAGTCGAACCCGTGGGGATACCGGGGGGTTCTGATTCGTCTCAAAGAGGTAATTAGGATCAGTTTCAAAAAAAAAATGCAATGTACAGAAAGAATGGTAGCAAACTAAAAAGGCGAAAGAAGGATATATAGAAAAGAAGTTACCTAGAGAGATGATGAAAAAAGATTCAACGAAGGATGAATGAGCTAGATGGATGATTTTCCTAAGCGTCTCGAAGAACCGTGGAATTTGGAGAATAATCCCTCAATACGGAAGAGCAACGAGTATACTCGAAAGGAGAAAGAGGTAGAGAATAGAATATAAAGATAATGAAAAGGGAAGAGAAAACACAAAGGGATATGGCTGGTGGCTTTTTGAATTTTGAAATCTCTCAAATGGTTTCGTCTGGAGACAGGGTATGTTCGTTATACCCTTTATGACTCGTTTAGGAATAACTAATTCATGGGGTGGTTGGAATATCACAGGGGGGCTATAACCAATCCGCCGCACGTCATGACTGCATCGAATAAGGTTGCAACATCTGGTGTAACAACACAACTAGAATTTAATATGAAGTGGCTGGTGAAGAAGAGAGGTTTGGGCATGAAGCTTAGAAGTCAGATAAGTGCTGACATTCACACCTTGGAGTATCGACTTACACTACTCCAAGATGGGGGGGGGACACTTATGTTTTAGGTATGATCTCATATTCCGTTATTGGGCCCAGACCCAAGATAAGCTTCCCACCTAGTGATGACTATTCCGGTTAGGGCTTCAGCCCATCAACCTAAGTCTTGGGCATGCATCCAGAGTAGATTGCTCTAGCTTGGGCTAAAACACGTGAGCTCGGGTCAGGGGTCTACACCCACAATCTTACCTCCATTCTCTCGCACCAATGATCACGTCCGGGAAAATTGCTTTATGGGGCACAACCATCACGATAATTGCTCCCCAAGGGCCAATATAAATACTTGAACAATACCCCCCGGGAAAAGGACTTCAGATTGATTACATTCCACAACATATTCAAGCCCCAGAGCTTTCATCACCCCCCAAAATACACACACATGCACTCCTTTGTTGTTTATCCACCGGACCTTGGTTAAGAGGTGCTTGATCCATCAGTACAAGTTATATCTCCCACTTGCTTCGTAGACACAATTACTATCCTATACTCTAGGCATTGGTGTTCATCCCAAAAAAGGAAGTAAATTCAATTGTTACAAATATTAAAAGGGCCATTTGCTATATTTTTTATTATGATTTTAACAATTCAACATTACAATCCTCAATTTACCCCGTCCACGAGATAAATTAATGAAAAGAACTTCTTTTGTATAATGAAAAGAAGTTTGTCTTATGCCTTTTCGGATGCAGTTTTATATAATTATTATAAGTGATTATACGAATTTTTTAATTTTTAACCGCGTTAAAAATGTGATATATTTAAATTAATTTATGGATTAACTTATTTTTCAGATATTCTCTTATAAAGCTTCAAAATAAATATTTTACTCCACAGATCTGGATCCTCTTATGTGAAAATTCACATGATCATGTCATGTGAAGAATCATAACCATATAAAGGTGGATCAATGATAATAAAGGAGAAGAGAAAAAAAATGTTAAAATAAGTAATTACAAAATCATAACCGTTGATTTACCTTTGTATGATTGTGATATTCTCACATTACCATATCATATTTTTTTTTGAGAGGATCCATTTCCTTACTCAACACAAGGTATTTTGGACACTTACATTAACATAAAAATAATGTAATAATAATGTGAAAATATGATTGTTAATAATTTAATCAAGTAAACCAAGTAACTTACGTAACGATAACTCCAAGTCCAGGAATCCATATCCCCTTAATTCAAATGCCTTTAAGAAAAATGTAACAAATAAACTCACACATCGTAGAAACATGTGTTCTAAATTTTTTCTAACCTTACATTAAACGGAAGAATATTACTATATTCGTAAGAATCTTGGAAATATTCAATTAACCAGGCACCCATTGCAAATGACATTATATAAAGTGCACTTTTTATCTTAAAAAAAATCACAATTATTTATGCAAAATTAAATTTATTAATGTTATTTCAAAACTTTACCATAAATAAATCTGCATATAATCCAAAGACTTTATACAGTTATCCTCTTTTTCTATCTCTTCTAATATTATTGAAGGGATTAATGTTTCTCATATTGTATAGCTATAACAAAAATTGAAAAAATATTTCCTTTTAATTGGCGACTATCAAAAAAATCAGAAAAGGCTTCGAGATTGATATTAACCGCATTCAGTATAAGTGGTCCCAATCTCAAAGAAAAAGGGGGTATGGCGAAATTGGTAGACGCTAGAGGTAGGATCCTTTGACACCAATGTCAAATTTGAAATTTGACACTTCAAATAAGAGCCGTTAGATTAAAAAAGATTAATTGTGTCACATGCTTACAAATCAAAGTCGTTGATCTTTTTTCATCTAACGGCTCTCAGATGAGGTGTCAAATTTTAAATTTGACACTGGTGTCAAAGATTCCTGCCCCATATATATATATGTGTGTGTCCTACATGGAGTTATATGAAGAGAAAAAAGAGACAGAAAATATAAATTCTATCACTTTTATACACGTATAAGATAAAAAAAATATCAATCCCATTATTGAAATAACATCATATCTACATCATAGATATATTTTTTAATGTTTAACTATATTTTTCTATATTAAAAAAAAAAACGGCCGTTTATAAAAATAATGAAAAACTGTTTGCAAGAGCAATCACATAATTGAAACTCGAAAGACAAATAAGAAAAGCAGGCAGAAGAAAAGTACAACTCAAACAAGTTGAGGCATGAATGTCCAATTCAGTTCACAAGGCCGAGATATTGTCCCAATGGCTATTTTGGTTGGACCCTTCATTCTTTTTTTAATCTTTCTTTTTTTCTTTTTCTTTTTTTGAATTTTTTTTAATCTTTTAATAAAGAGTGCCTGATGCTGATATATTCGCACTAGTAACAAAAAGGTCATAGTCAGAAAGAATTAAATTAAGGGTTCGATTTTCTGCATCAGCGCAAAAAGCAAATATATGATACAGAGAAATTAAATGAGACTTATTAGCTTTTTTTTAAAAAAAAATATATCAGGATCTAACGTCATATTCTGAAAAATATATATTTGCGGTAGGTAAATTATTTTTGTCATAATCACTGAAATAATTTTGCTATAAATTAAGAGGAGGGATATTCTTACTATTAAAATTTTCTACTACCAACTCACTACCTATCTAATTATCATTGGATGAACATTTTCTTTTTTTTCAAAAACTTTTTAGCATTCTCTCTCCTTGATTCAATGATAATTAAATAAGTAATAAGTTAATAGTAAAAGATTTTAGTAGTAAGAATGTCCTTTCTCGAGAATTAAACACTTTGAATTATGAATACTTTGTAATAAATACAAAACTCAACATTAACAATGAAATCACTATAAAGGGAACTTCAAATTAAAAAAAAAAAAACTACAACTACCTTTACGACCAGTTATGCAGCCCAGTGGGTTAAAGAAAAAAGATAAGGATAAAACAATTCCATAGTCATGACTCATACATTGTGTGATAGAGAGATAAAATGTATTTATAGTAATTAATTAAAGAATGGATTTGGTGTTTGTCATTTTAAATGACATAAATTATGTCATTTTAAGAGAGAGATAGACACAGAAAAACAGAAATCATGAGAGAGAGCAAGTGGATGGTTTTTTTAATTTAAAATTTAAATTTTCTGTGTCTGTATCTCTCTTAAAATGACATAATTTTCTATCCTTTAAAATGATAAACACCTTTCCTTTAAAGAATTTAATATTTTCTTTTTTAAACGATATAGAATTATATTATTTTAAAGAAAAAGAATAAGGATAAAACAAGTCTATAGTAGTCATGACTCATATATTGTGTGATAAAGAGATAAAATGTATTTATATTAATTAATTAAAAGATTTATTATTTATTTTTTTAAAAGACATAGAATTATGTTATTTTAAGTGAAAAAAAAACACAAATAATAAAAATCATTGAAAAGAAAATGAGTGATTTTTTTTAAATTTAAATTTTAAATAAAAAGTATATATTAAATTACGTCTTTTACTTACCTAAAATGACAGAACTATATATCTTTTAAAAATAAAAACATTTTTCCATTGAGTTTAATTATGATTCATATTATGGTGTTTTATTTGGTTTGTAATTATATAATTACATCAAAATTATGATGGCAAAGCAAAGTGACTCTGCGGTGGAGATGATGAGGCTATGCTTATATTTTGGTATTATAAACATAAAAATGGGAGACAGGTTGATGCTGTTGTGGTCTTGTACACACACACACACACACAAACACACGGGTCTTCCTTCAACTTCACACCCCAAATCCAACACCAACACCTAACACACCCTTTCCTTCTCCTTCCATTTTCACCTTCTGCAATCCCAAGAACCCAATAAAAAAGAAATAATTTTTAGAACACCCTTTTACTTAATTTTATTTTGTCTTCCATTTTTTTTTTCTTGGGCGATTATTGTTATTTGATCTGAAGGTAGAATTGTAGAAGGTTATTGGAATGATTTATCTCTTGGATTCTTGTGTTTCCAGCCTTCATTGGTGCGTTTTCTGAGTTTGCTTTTTACTACCTTGATCATCTTGAATCTTGTTGGACTTAGTTTGATTTTTCTTTCATTTTGTTGATTTTTGTTCTTCTGGGGTTTATGGGGTTATCGCAAAAATGATTTTTTTTTCTTGTGTTTCTGGGTTGTCAGTTTTTTTTTTTTTTTTTTTTTTTATAATTTTGCTTAAGAACGGATTAAAAAAATAAATAAATAAAAATAACACCATTGCTTGTGGTAGATGACAACTCAAAAGCTTTGGGGGGTTTGCGGTGGATGTGTGTCGGGCAAGTCAGCGTTTCCATTTGCTTTTAATCAACGTTTTTCTTTTTCTCTTCATGTTGATCGCTTCAAAAGAAAACCTTCTGTTTATTGGCATTGATTAATCTTACTCCAGCTTGGAAATTTTCTCTCAGATGGATGGTTTTTTTCAACTTTTATTTTTCATTTTTATCTTTTGAGGTATTTACATGATGCTTGCTGCTTTCATTGCCCCTCATTTCCTTTTGCATCCTATTGTTGATTGATCAGAATTGGGTTCCATCATCTCCTAGGTTTGATGTGTATTAAGTTAGCTTTTATTGTTGTTATTATTATTATTGTACGATTCTTCTGTTAATTGAAAATAGGGATTCCAAATGCAATCAGTGAAGTGATGAACTTGAGAAAATTGTTAGCTATTTATATGTGTTTTTATATTCTTCTTCTTGTGGCTTTATGAACTCTGGAAACTGATGTATTTATTCAAATGTTGTTTCAGGCATAGTTACTGATTTTGTTACTTGCCATGAATTGTTGGGGCTTCATCTGTTGCCAGTATGGAGGTCGAGAGATCTGTTCCTGTTGTAGTTCTTGGATATATATCATCACGTCCTTCACTTTCTCTGTATTCCCTGCAAAGGAAATGGTGTTTGTAATGTCTCAAATGTGGATGCCTCTGATAGATACATAGCATTATATGAAATTCTTATAGGTTTAGAATTACTTGATCAGGAAGATGGTATTCCAATTGTAGTTGCTAATAGGTAGTATAAAAGGTTGAATAGTGAAATTGGTAGGGGTGGAAGCTAGGTTGCACTTGTTAGTTGATGATGTACGGCTTATCATGATCTTTTGGTAAAAGGGAAAATGGTGAAATGAACATCAAAGTCCTTGCTGAGGGATCAAATAGATAATTTAAAGCAAGCTTTTCATCTCTGTAGGAAGATCAAGATCCATATTACTGACTTAAATACTAGTGATGGGCTTGCCACATATACCCCCAAGTGAAACCGCTGAAAAGGTTGCACTTGTGGGTGTTGTGAATAGCTCGCGGCAGTTTTCTGAAGCAAGCCCCTCTGCTATAAGCAGCATGAACAGTGTAAGCACTAGTGGGTTGGCTGCATGTACTCTGGGATCCTCATTTGATGATTTCCCAAAGAATGCCTCCTTAGAAATTTCGAATGTTTGTGATAATACATTTTATAGAGGAGCCATGGAAGTCACTTCCAATGTCCACAGTTTGAAGATTGGTTCAACAGATAGAGGTGCCCTTTTTGCTTCAAAAAGTGGAAGAAGTGTTCATGTTCCTGTTTCTAGGGTTGTGGGTTTTGAATCGGGCCGAACAAGCTCATTAACTGATGGGTTGACTGAAGTTCCTGCTGCAAATCTTCATTCTTCTGCTTTTACTAATGTCCTAGCCAATGACACTGAATCTGCCAGTTCGTTGGTTAGGAAGCGACTTTTATCCCCACTGAGCAGTATGCTCTCCCCAAGTCATTTCAAAGGTGATCCTCTTGACATTGGCTGCAGAAACATTGAGACTGGCTCCCTTGTTAAGAATGATAATGTCAGAAAAGTCATTGCACAAGATAATAAGAAGGCAAACATTGGAAGTAAAAGCAGTTATACAATGCCTTCTTGGTCATTGTCAAGTTGCTTTGAGCAAAAAAACACGCCACACAGTACAGAGTCCATTTTTCTAATTGATGGTCCTTTGCAGGAAAATAAAGGGATACTATCCCAGGGTAGTTCACCCTCTGCTGGAATTGATCACTTTAGAGAATCAAGTCAGGGCAGACCTCAAAGTGGCACGATATGTGTATCTCCTAAAATCATGAGCTCTCCTCTTTCCATGTCACCTCTTGGTCCTAAATTTTCTGAAAGAATAAAAACTACTGGAGGATGTAGGAGTGTCGTTGAAGAGATAAATAATAGCAATATAACTTTAAGGAGTATAGAACAATCACTTGATAATTCTAACTCATGCCTTATGTTAAATCATAAAGATGATGATTCAGGAATTGCACGTAAATCTCTTGAAGACATTGAATTCTTATGCAAAGAATTTTGTCCATCTTCTCTGGATGATATTGTTGACATGAGTTGGCAACTATCTCAAGAATCAGCTCCCATATCTCACTCCATGAGGTTCACTAGAAGTTTAAGTGGGCTTTCAGTCAGGAGGTCTTTGGTTGGTTCATTTGAGGAGTCTCTTTTATCTGGCCGGTTCTTATCTGGAACCCATAGTAAGGTTTGTATATGTGCTAATTACTGTACTGTAACTGATCTTGTGCATGATTCTAAACTGTAGTAGACTGAAAAGTTTTAGACAACTGATCCATGGTTGCTCGATGCTATTTTTGTCTGTAGAAAATCGATGGTTTTCTTGCTGTGCTAAGTATTACTGGAGGAAACTTTTCTCCTAAATCGCAGAAGCTTCCATTTTCTGTTACTAGCGTGGATGGAGATTGCTATCTATTGTATTATGCATCAATAGACCTTGCAGGAAATTCTTCATCAAACAAGTTTAGAGGTCATCTGCTGAAACGAGGGCTTAGAAATGATGATTTGCAAAATGTCAAAAGCCGTTTGCGAATACCAATGAAAGGACGGATACAACTGGTACTGATATACTTGTTTCACAGTTTTGACTTTTAACCCTTGTATCTAAGTGCCTTCAGATGAACCTGTTAGGGCCTTCATCTTATATCTGCTGGGATATTTAAGGGTAGTAACAAACGTACTGTTAATAAAGAACAAAGTATGTGTCAAGAATTGTGTGGTTGCTATCTTTATAAGTTTTTTTGTTGCAAGAATTATTTTGACTTGTGGTGCCAAGAGAATGAACCTTTCATCAACTCAGTTGATGAGAATGTACTTCTTTCTTTCATTTCCTCATATATATATATATATATATATATATATATATATATATATATATATCTTCATTTGTGCTATGTTTGGTGTGAATGTTTCGGGTGGAAGAGAAGGGAAAGGATTGATGCATTTGGACTAGGCTTCAGTACAAACTCACCGATACTTCCCCATTCTTTACTCTCCTAATGCCTTCTACCAAACACATCAGTAGTTCCATAATTATTCATGTTCTTCTCTTCTCATTTTGGAGTATTGTTTACATGTTCAATTTGTGAGTTTTCACATTCAAGATATTTGTGCAGATTGGCATCTTTTGTGTCAAAGTGCATTATTCTTACATCAGATTTCTCTCTGCAGGTGCTAAGCAATCCAGAAAAGACTCCCCTTCACACTTTCTTTTGCAACTATGATTTGAGTGACATGCCAGCTGGTACCAAAGTAAGATTTATCAGTCTGGATGAATCTCTGACTCAATTGATCTGGAATTTTGTTTCCCTAATGGCGTAATTGTTCTGACATGACTGATTTTAGCTTTGAACTCCCTTTGGACCCTTGTTGTTACCAGATGAGAGGCGGGTAGAGGTGGCAACCCCAAAAGTTGCCTCACTTTGATATGGCTAAGCAGGGTGGCTGCCTCATGAAAGTGGCTGACCATATTTAAAATTAAAAATACTAGAACCAAGTTATAAGATTCAATTGTAAATCAATCACTAGATTCATTACAAAGTCTCAGCATCATTGAAGTACTCAAATGAAGCATTGAAACAGAGGAGAACACACAGCCAAATGGAAACTAAGTCTTAAAAAGCAAAGTATTACTAAGACAAGAGTAACATAACATAAAATAATAAGACTTATTCACACCGAAAAAGAAATATAATGAGGCTGCAAACGGTAAGCAATGTTCAGCTGCCAGTTCCTTTGTTGTTGGGAGGGTAGATGTAAAGCTCCATTTCCTCTAAAAGGAAAATAATTAGTGTGGGTTTGATGGGTGCTGAAGAAATGTTTTTAATTTAGGGGTAGCATGTCCTGCCACATTCGGATTCTAGAGGCTTTGATTTTTAATGCATAAATAAATGTAGGAAGTTATTATGAGGATGCAATTTTTACTTTTTGGCTGGGGATGTTGATACTTGATACTTGTCTGCGGTTCATAAAATGGCTTCTTTTTTAAGTAGATATTTATGTCACATGTTTTAAAATACTAGTGAATTAAATTAAAGAACACGTTAGATTTCTTTTAAAAGTGAACTTCCATATTTGTCTTTCAAAGGTATATGCAACATCACATTGATCCTCTATTTATTAGAAGCATCAAATTGGTCCTTCAATGATAATTAAATGCCTTCTGTTTTGTCCCTTTAAAATTGATATTGAAGGACTGATTTGATTTATAAGTGGAGGACCAACCTGATGACACATATATCTTTGGAAGACCAACATGAACATTTAATCTTTCTTTCAATTATGTCGTGTAAAATAAAAATGGCTTCAGTTTTGCTTATTTCAAATCACTAAGTTTAGGCTGGACATTAAGCCACAATAAAATGAAGGCTTATAGACCTTCAATGATGTTCTCAAGAATTTTAGTATTGCCTATGATGGATTCCACATTTGACACACAGATTGCACTGTGGTTATCCTAGTGGATTAGATAAGTCATGAACTGAGTTCGTTCATCTCTGTCCTTTTTCTCTGATAAACTTACGTTTATGAATGTTTCCTAATTTATGTTTGTGTTTTATGGTGTATTTGCTTAGTTGTTTATCAATTTCTGATTTCTTGTTATATATATGAGTAGACATTCTTGCGCCAGAAAGTCACCCTTGAATCTTCCAGCTCCAGTTCCCCTCAATTGAAACATGGGCCAACAGGTTTGAATAGTGGAGAAGTAATGCACACAGATACAGTTGATGCTGTAAATAAAACAAAATCTACAAATCAAAGAAACAGAAAGGACTCTAGCTTGGTGAATTTAATGAACAAAGAGGATTCTTGCAAGCAATCTCCAAACATGAAAATGCTGGGATTGCCTTCCTCAGTAAAGCTTGATCATGATGGATGTTTAGCTGATAAATGTGGGAGGAATGGAAGAAATGAGTGCTGGGATAAAACATGTGATGAATCAGGGAAATCATTAAATTCTTGTTCAAAGATCAATGAGAATTCTAATAGTGCTGGTCCACTTCGTTATGCTCTTCACCTCCGCTTTATTTGTCCTCTTCCTAAGAAGACCAATAGATCAGTTCAGAAATGCAGACATAATTCTCTTCCAGAAAAAGCTGGATTGGACATGGAAGGGGAACGGAGATTCTACTTATGTAATGATATGAGGGTTGTGTTCCCTCAACGTCATTCAGATGATGATGAGGGCAAGGTATGTACTTATATTGTTGCATATTTTTTCTGTGCCATGGTAAAACTGTCAAAAGCAATATGGCATCTGGTTGCATATCAATATCAACAACATCTTTATCCCAATGTAGTTGTGGTCAGTGACAAATCAACCAAAATGAAAACTATGAAAAGATTAAGGAAAAAAAGATAAAATAGAAACATATATATACGTATATATATGACACTATCACTATCCAGGGTAAAAGAGGAGGGTTGGCCTAAGTTGATTGTGTATGTGGAAAATTATTTACTTTTTCTGGTTCATTTTGATGTGTTATTATTCTTATTTTTGGTTGATTGTTCTCTTTTGGTGACATTTTTGGTCATGTTCTTGTCCCATGATTTATGGAGAATTTTAAACCATTCATGGATTTGAAATTTGTTAAGAGTTTCTGTAGAATCAACCTAATTTTGGCCAGATGAAACAGTCTTTAACAATGTTGGATAAATATAATTTTTCTCTGTAAGATTGAACAGAATGTTACATGTTGGCTCTGATTCCTGCAGGTGCAGGCAGAATAAGATAATTGATCTCTTGGTTTGTGTGTTGTTTGCAATTGAATCTAGTTGTGTGCATTTGTTGGGCTACTTGGGTCTCTGACAAGGTTTATTGTTGGTCTATTTGGCAGTTGAATGTGGAATACCATTTTCCTGAAGATCCAAGATACTTTGATATCAACTGAAAATTATAGTTTACCTCATCAAAAAGCATGATTTGCTTTTGCTGACACTCTTGTACATAGTCACGTACTGGTCTTCACTTTAGTCATGTCCTCTGGAAAAATGGAACTAACCCTGTTCCTCCTGTAAATAAAAACAATTTCAATAATTAAATGGGTTAACTATTTTCAATTGCTGACTTAAAGTAAGCTGTTACAAATGGATGTAGAAATGTTTCGTGTAACTTGATTACCCCACCCTTTTTAATTATTTTCTAGAACCAAACCAGCATTTTAAGATGGGAAAAATTAATGTTTCTCCTATTATTGGAGATAAATGTATCTTTTTGTAATTTCAAAATAACATTGTTTTGAGATTTGTAAACAAAAATAAAGGGTATTTTAAGAAAAAAATTTTTATGAATTTTTCTATAATATTTTTTTGTTTTTTCTCTTTAAATCTTAAAACGATATAGTTTTAAGGACGTTGGAGATAATTTTAAGAAATGCATGTGATATGGCCATCAAAATGGAGTATAAATGAAAGAAAACTATCTTGTACTATAGTAAGACAAGTTGAAGAAAGTGTGAATGGGAGCTTTTAAGAAATTATTTGTAAGAAATGGTATATTAATGGGAAATATAAAGATTATGTTGTATGAACAGAAAACCAATTTCTTGACCTTACTACGATTTCAGTGCTGTACTTATTTTTTCTTTTTATAAAATTGTGGGGTCACTGTTTTTGTGTTTGCAGGAATCTTTCTCATTCTTCCTGTAAAATGATGGAATCAAAACACTATATTAATTAGCCCTCTAATTGAAGATTAGTTTTACAATCAAAGAATGTGAATAAATATCTTCAGATAAAAAAAAATAAAAAATCTTTAGGACTCATTTGACAAGTGATGAAAATTGTGACATAACATTAACTTTCGTACTCAGTTATGGAATTTGTCGTTTTGATGAATCATACTATAAAGTTCTTATAAAGCTCATAGGCTTGAGGCGGAGGCCATCCTTTACAATGAATCAGCACTTCGGTATCCACTGAAGAATCCATCATTCCAAAGAGGATATTTCCTTAAGCAAAATTGAGATAAATTTTAGTTATAGTATATATCATTATTATTATATTACCTTTACAGTCTCTTGTAAGCAGTATTAAGCGATATAAATAATCTATTATGTTCTAGTTTTGAGAACATTTAAATATAGATGAGTTTTAAAAGAAATAAAAATTCTTTATTTTATTTTTCTTATAAATTTTTTCATCAATAGGTATAGCTTCTTAAATCTTAATGATAATAATGTAACATATGTTATTTGATTCTAATTTTGACAATAAATATTTGTGTAACAATTTTAGTCCACTATGAAGAGTAAAGTAATGACAACATTTACTTATCCATGAACGAATAAAATCAACAATGCATAATAAAGAAAACGAAAATTCTTGTAATAAACATGACACCTAGGATTGTCAAAGACGATTATACTACTTCTTGTTTTTTTAAGACATTGGACTGTACCAGTTGTATGAGAACTTGAAAAATATATATATATATAGGAGTATGATATTCTTACACCGGTGTAAGAGTAAGAAGTCTTACACTCAATCTTGACCATTGATCCACATCCAATGGCTCACATTACTAAAAAAATTAGAGTCCTTAGATATAAATGGAATCAATGGACAAGATTAAGAGTGTAACTTACACTGGTGTAAAATGATCCTGACTCATATATATATATATATATATATATATATATATATATATATATATATATATATATATATATATATATATATATATATATATATGGGGCAGGATATTCTTACACCGGTGTAAGAATTAGAAGTCTTACACTCAATCTTAATCATTGAACTACTTGCATCCAATGGCTCACATTACTAAAAAATTTGAACCATTAGATAAAAATGGAATCAACAAATAAGATTGAGAGTGTAACTTACACTGGTGTAAGATGATCCTGACCCTATATATATATATATATATATATATATATATATATATATATATATATATATATATATATATATATCTCGTGAAAATTAGGTTGTGCGTGAATGTTTGAAAAATAAATTTTAATCAACCTGGATCGTACCATTTCGATCAAATCTGTGTTACTTCGGGTTGAGTCATGTGGTTGTGTATTGTTCATATAGAACATACCTGGACAAGTTGATGCAGTGATTTGTTCACTTTAGGTATTGATAGTCATGAGACTTCGACGCTCAAATCATATGATCAAAGATAAAGTGTATAAAATCCAGCTGCATTACTAAGGGTTTGACCTTTGTATTTATAGAGAGGGATTATCTGAAACTGCTGGAGAGTTTGAGTAAGATTCAAATTTCCAATTAGATATGATTCATCATCCATAATTTGTATTTCAAATTAGGATTGACCTGAACTCTTATCTTCTAGAGTATGTGGGAGAGTTTGAGTAAGATTCAAATTCCCAATTAGATACGACTCATAATTCATGATTCATATTTCGAATTATAATTGACCTAAACTCTTATCTTCTAGAGTATGTGGGACCCATTAAGTGGATTCAAAACATATATATAATTAAACATTTTAAAAACATTTATTAAAAAAAAGAAAGAAAAAGAAACCAGAAAATAGAGATTTGATTATGTTGAGTTGAATGGGCTTAAAATTTATAGACTTGATATCTAACCCAAACCCATCGGGTTGTAATTAAATCTATCCGGTTTAACCCAAATACTTTATCACCTAACCCAAGTTTTTAACTTTGTGAGTTTACCCCGGACTGGTGCCCACCCGGCCACTCCTATTTTAAAAATTATCTCAAATCCTTCTTTTCTTTAAAAAATAGAGAAAAGGAAAAGGAGAGAGGGGGTTATCAAAATTAATAAAGGGAGCCCATAATAAATAATATTTTAGACTTTTGTTACATGTAAAAATAATATTTTATACATCAAAATTGTTATATCAAAATAAAAGTTAAAGAGAGTGTCTTTAAATGGGTATTTTTTTATTATTTTTTTATTTTTATTTTATAAGAAAGTAATGTAGGAATAATATAGTCTTTTCAATCACCAAAAACAAAAATATAGTCTTTTTAATTCGTAAGTAGTTTTAATATTACAATATTGCAGTTTCAAGATTTATTTTAAGGTCGGGTGATTGTTATATATTGACATTTCCCATTACAATTCAAAAGAAATTTGTTTAAAAGGTAGACAAATTACACGTTGCAAACTTGCAAGACATTTAGGTGGCGTTTGGTTGGAGCTTTTTGTGAGGATACCTAAGCATATGAGATTGGATTTTTGTGTTATCCATGTTTGGTAAAAAAAATTACAAAATTTTCCTAGCTAACTTGGTTCCCTATCATTTCATAATTGTGTGTAAAAATAGATGAAAAACACTATTCAACTCATCCACTTCTAACATGGTATTTGGAAGAAAACTGGGTAAATGACAAAAAATAACATATGCACAGTACAACTTACAACTTTTTTCTAGTAATATTTTACTCAATCAAACAAATTTTTTTACATTTTCCTACCAAACTCACTTTTCAACCATTTCTATATCAATTATATTTCTCTAGTATTTAAAAAATTTCTCCTCAACCAAATACCCCTTAACGAATTAAAATCACAAGACGCATGCAAAATTAGTAAGAAATGAATGAGATAACATACATTTCTGTGAGTCTTATCCGTCTTCCCTCCTATAAAAGAAAATATCAAAGGCCAGATATTTAAATGACCATAAAAGACTGCATGATGCCGTTATGTTCTAATGCCAAGCAACATGTTTAACATCATGGGACATCTCACACACATACACACACACAGAGAGAGAGAGAGAGAGAGAGAGAGGGGCCAATTTGGAGGCTAAACATCATCATAGAACAAGCCCATTAGGGAAAGCCAGGGAAAGAATGTGACATCAAAACCGAGACAGCATTCACTACTGAGCCACTTTATTTAAACAACACTACTGAAGAGTGTGCTCAGCCAGCTACTGCCACCACAATGCAACCTCACTCACTCTCATCATCTAATCAAATGTCATTGTCATCATAAAACCATATTCCTTTCATATACGTACTCTATATAGATATAAAAAAAAAATGAATTTTTTTTTTTTATTGGTTCTTATTCCTTTGGTTGCACGAGCCTTCACTATTCATTATATTTGATATTTATATGCTCTCATACGTGTCGCCTAGTTGTAGCAATGTACCTCATGGCCTAACCGTATTGGTGTGTTGTCGAACAATGAGAAAAAAAGAAAAGAAAAGAGAGAGAGAGAATGAGTAATGAGTTGGTGGTGTGTGTGTGGTGTCAGACGAATCAGAGACAAACTCTCACTCGCTCGCTCCCTCATACACTACACTGCTGGTAACTGCACTCTCATGCCCTCACCTCTCTCTCTCACAGAGAGGAGGTAGTGTACTAGTACTACTACTAAGTGCTCCCACTTCTTGTCCAATTCTGCAAATCACTCACGTCACGTCCCTTGATTCCTCTTACTACATTTTCTTCCTTTTATTCCCACCCTGCCCTCATATCCAAGACACCTAACCAAATAAAATAGTAACAAGAATAAAAATCTTTTTTTTTTTTTTAACTTTTTCAAGTTACTAACTAACTACAACTTAACAACACTCAAGTACCTATTCTTGTGCTAGTTTAATTGAACTGAATTCAAATTTAAACCCACTTAAGCTCTCTATATGTGTCATAAAATTTACAAATCACCAATGAAAATCTAAACTTAATAACAAGTAAGCACTATAAATTATAATCACAATTGTAAGCTTTAGGCAGCTAGGTAGGAGTAGGACATGTAATTATATGATAAACTTAATACCCAGAATTATTATTTATTTATTTTTTAAATTTTCTTTTACAGGATTTAACTTCGAGGTGAGTCATCTGAGAAGGAGGGGGCAAATGATATTATCCATTGAGGGTAGGCAAAAGGGTAATTTAATAAGGAAACCAATCATATTTGCTTCACATACAAACCAAAACTTGAAGAAAACTCCCTCACGTTTATTTATATAAGATCAAGCTCTGTGTGCTCACTCACTCACTCACTCACTCACTGTTCAGTGCTACATTGCTCTCTACCTTTTCCTTTCTCTCTCTCTGAAATGGCAGACCCTACAGCCATCTACGACTTCCTGAAGCAGCACCCTGCAGCTTCAAAAACAAGTGCTGCAAAGAGGTTGCAGCCACAATCATCATCTTCAATCCGCACCTTCCAATGCCACTTTTGTCACCGCAAGTTCTACACTTCACAAGCTCTTGGTGGCCACCAGAATGCTCACAAGCAAGAAAGAGCAGCTGCTAGAAGAAACATTAACGCTCACAATGGTAACAACAACATGAACATGAATGTGCCACCACTTCCACCACCACCATTGGAGTCTTCTCTTAAGATCACTGAACCCATGACCATGATCACCATGCCTGAACTTGACCCTTCAGCTTCTTCTTCTTCTCCAAATGTTCGTTTCTTCCACAACCGTTCTTATTGGCTTGAAGTTGATCCCTTGCAGTTTCAGACCCATCACCATGTTCCAACCACCACCACCACCACTGTCCCTCCTTATCTTCCTTTTCTTGGTGGTGGTGGTGGTGGTGGTGGTGGTGCTTCTTCTTTCGCTTCCATCCCTCAACAAATTTTCTCCCATAATAATGCTGCTGCTTCTTCTGCTGTTGCTGATGCTCCTGACAATGCCAACCTTGACCTCACCCTTCGCTTGTGAAGCTTCTTTTTTAGTTAATTTTATTTTAGGTTTGCATTATCTTTAGTTTTTGGTTAGAAACATTTTCCTTTTTGTTTTGTTTTTTTTTTTTGTTAAGATGACTTTGTTGATGAGGGAGTGGCTCTTTGTTATGGTACTTTGGGTTAAATTTTGAAAATGTTGGTATTGTGATTAGTTGGAAGTGGAAGGTTGTCTCTCTCTTTTTTCTGTTAAGAAAGGAATTTTATGGTTTAACTTAATTAGCTACTAGTGTTGGGGGTTCAGTTCAAATCTCAAGCTAGCTACTAATGTTTCAGTTATTTTCACTTTAATATCCTTTTCTTATTGTAATTTTCTTCTGTTTCTTAACTCTCAGGTTAATGCCATTTTGTCTTGTTTTTGCTTCTTCTGCTATTCATGTTTATCCTCTCTCTATTAGACTCATTTACACACAAGCATTATGTATACATATATGTATTTAACCATGTACTTAAAAAACAATATTTCATCTCTAGTATTCATACTATAAAGTGCGAAAAAAACAAGGCCATTTTGTAAAGTGGCCAATATAGAGACAGAGTTTATTACTGACACAATGTCAGATTAAGTTGGGCATTTCCGTGTGTTATTGGAAGAAATAAAATGTAATATTGCATCGTTACATTAACATGTCCATTTGATTTGGAATCATAAAAATGGTGTTATAGTACAATGTATTTATTGGCTTCGGTTGTTGTGATGGAGAATGGCTATTGTTCTAGTTTCATGAACCATCAATCTATTGAGTCATCATAATACAAATGTTGCACGTCCATCATCTTTTTTTTCTTTTTCTTTTTTCTGATTGATTTATTGAAGGGATGGACTCAGTTAAGGAGAGAATGGATATTCACCACTCAAGTGTGTGGTGTTGTTACCTTCTTCTCTTTCTCGTAGTTTCCCTTTTGGCGAAAAAAAAAAAATTCGTCACCAAATTTTATCTTTTGCTGATTTGCTCAAAGAGGAAGTAAATTAAATACATGACATGAGAAGATGAAGCCCACTGGTTTCAAATCATGTAGTGGATTCCTACTCAAAAAGAGCGTGTGATAAGACCTTCGTGTTTTCTTTATGCAATAATAATAATATATTGTTGTTGTTGTTAAAACCCATTTTCAATGTAGTTCTTTAATTGTACACAAATTATGAAGCTATACGTAGATGACGATGTTCTGAAAGCATTTCAAATCAAAACGGCACACTATAGCTTTTCATAAGACCGAATCAATCGAGTCATGCCATCATCATCATCATCATCAATTAAATATAACGGATTTTTCATTTAAATTGTAAATTAAAGATAAATGGTATATGCTAATATTCTCATTAATAAATAAAATAAAATCATATAATTATTATTCCAGGTATAGAGTTCCAGGACCAAGGGTTTCTAGGGTCAACCCTAAGATGGCTACCCGACTTAGGGAATCAGAGATTACTCTGTAAATATAATTATTAACTCAGCTAGACATTCGTGTTCAAGTTCAACATCTGATCAATTATCAAATTTTGAAATATGAGTTTTTTTATACTTTATAACAAGAATGTTTAATATTTCTATTAAATATTATTTTTGAAATACTTTGACAAAAAATTTTCTCAAAACAATATACATTAATTCAAATATATATACAATAAATGCATAAATATCTTTTCCTTAAAAAAATAATTATAATTATACATGTTTAATTCGAAGAATCGTAAAATTCAAAAGGATAACTTGGTATAAACTTTCACCATAACTGCAAATTCAAACTCAAATTTGAATTTATTCCATAATATATAATCACCTACAAATTCATATTCTTTTCCTAAAACCATCATACACCTGCTTTCATTTTAACATGGCATGCGGTAACATGAAATTGTAGTATGTTATTACTGAACTCTCTCTTTATATATTATATAATTATTCTAATATCAATAACTCTAAATCAGATCACTTTGGTTTAATAAAAGCTAACCGTGTTTGGGACAATACACTTAAATAATTTAAAAGCATATCTTTTAAATAAAAAAATCATGGGTTCGCTTTTCTTACAGTAGATAATTTATCTACATTTAGTCCAAAACGACGTTGTTTTGAGGCGAAAATCAAAGTATTTTTGTAATTATAATTTATTTCAGGATTATAATAGTCTTTTTCATTATAATTTCTTAATTTTTTTAACCCAAAATGACGCCGTTTTGGGAGCGAATATGGATAACTTATCTACATTCACTTTAGAAACATTAAAGCCATATCGGATTAAAAGTGGTATAATTTATAAATCTTTTTTTTTTGTCATCATAATTTATAAATCTTTAAAAGTAATAACAAATGATTTGTACTTGAGTTATTTTTTAAAGAAAAAAATTTCTTTATGGATTGATGTAACTTTCCTATAAAAGTATATATTGTATGTAGAGGTGTAAATAGGCTAGGGCGGCTTACAGGGGCCTACGGACTAGCCTATATTAGGTCAGACTTGACCTATTATAAATAGTAAAATAGAATAGGTCTAGACTTTTAAAAAATCCTATTTAGAAAACAGGCCATAGACTTTTTTGTACATGTCGGGCCTATGAGCATATAGGCCAGCTTATATTTTATTATTTATTTTAAATAAAATAAATAAAAAGTATTATTTTAATAATTTTGAATAATAAAATAATATTATTTTAATTATTATTTTAATTGTTGAATGTTTAACAGTCTTAAACATGCTAACAGGTCTAGGCTAAGACTTTTATTTTTTAAATATAGGCCAGACCAGACTTGTAATTTGAAATCTATACGGGCTAACAGGTCACGCCAGACTCAATATTTTTTATACAGGCCTAGCCTATTTAAGTCAAAGCATAGCCTGACCTATCCTATTTACATCCCCTAATTGTATGAGAGAGAAAGCAAAGTGAAAAGGAGAAAACTTTTTAACAACCAATTTCATTACCTCAAATATTTTTTTTTCTTTAATAAGAATCAATTTTTTAAAATTTCACAATTTATCAAACATTTTACATTGAAAAATGGACCTAGTATATATATCTATATTTATAGTCAATCATCCCTCAAGTGTATCAGCTAGGTCTATCAAAGGAAATAGGCTTTAGCTTGGTGTTTTCTAATCAGTTCGAGCTCAAACATCACCTTTTTTCTTTTTATTTTCTAAATCTATAAAGTAAATATTGAAGTTATGATCTTTGTACAAATGTTACACAACATTTTATATTAAAAAATGGCCCTAGTATATATATCTATATATATGGTCAATCATCCCTCAAGTGTATCAGCTAGGTCTATCAAAGGAAATAGGCTTTAGCTTGGTGTTTTCTAATCAGTTCGAGCTCAAACTTCACCTTTTTAACTTTTTATTTTTTATTTTCTAAATCTATAAAGTAAATATTGAAGTTATGATCTTTGTACAAATGTTACACACTTATACCGCTTGAACAAAACCTAAGTAAGTTACCAGTCTTAGTATTTATACTAACTAATATCTTAAAAGTTTTAATATGTCATATGCAAATATTGTATTCTTTCTCTTTTTTTTTTTTTTTAGTAGACGAACATTGTATTCTTTATCCCAAGACTGGTAAGCATGTGAATTTGGCACCAATTTATTTGTCAATATTTATACAGGTAATGCATATATAGCCAGAATTAATAACAAAGAACTGTAACAGAATTTAAGAGTTGTTAGATGGAATAAATAATAGGATAGGAACCATCCATCCAAAAACCAACAAGTATGTCACATCGTTCTGAGAAACTTTTTCATCTCAAGTTTTTTTTTTTTTTTTTTTTTTTCTATTTTAAATGTACAACTGACATTTTCATAGACTCAATATGAAAGTATACAAGAAAATATTATGCCTCCATAACTGTTTTCACAAATATTTTTAATAGCAGATGTTATATGCCAAGTTTTTTGAAATTTTCAGTTGCGCCGAGTGGAAGATGATACACCCACCCCTAGAATTTTATCTGAGTTGGGATCAATGTTGTAGTTTCATTATAGTAAGGAAAGATACCTCCCAGCCACTCTACATGACTACATGCTTCAAGATACCATTATCCAAGAATCACAAATGACAAATTTAGATAAAACAAGAGTAGTTGCGTTCCTTCCCCAATCATTTATTATTTGCATTTGCAGCTTATTGATTTCAAGTTGGAATAATTGCACAATGTTACAACTCTGAGAAATCATGCCTTCTGGCCAGAAAACAATGCCTGAAACTATTGACAAACTACATATATTTGCCTCTAACCTAGGGAATACATAGGCTCACTGAATCAATTAGAAAATTACCAATTATTGTTCAGAACAATCAAATTTCAAATGTTGGAACTTCAGACGCAGAACCATGTGTAGCCTGGTATAATAGCCGAGATACTATACTTCTATAGGGGTCACTTTCTCTTTTCTCCTTTAAATATGCAATACATCTCTCTACCTCAGATTTCACTTGTAAATACAGTTCTTGAGATTTCTCCCTGTCTCTCAGTTCCTGTTTCCTTCCTGTCAAACAATATCTCAATAAATTTAAGTTGGCTAAATAACTTTTACCACCACATTTCACGGACATTCTGAGCTGTGAAATATGCATTGTGCATACCTTCCGTTTCAAATGGTTTTCCAAAATAATAGTAGAACCGGCCAGGAACTTTAGGCAAAATTCCCGGCATATACACTTGTTGATTTGCCACCTCACCACCAGTATCAGTCCTAGATTTCACAATATATATAAGGGATATACAATAATGCATATGTATATATAGCGTAAATAGAAGATGAAAAGGAAGGACAATATAGATGTATAAATAAAACCTTATGTTTCATAATTTGGTATGAATCAACTAAAAACAAATTCAGATACCTCAACTGCATAGACTCTTTTGTGAGGCTTTCTATTTCAGACCTAAAGTAAGGAATCTTCACCAAGTCATCATAATCAATAACTACCTGAAAACACAAATGTAGTATGATAAGTTTCGGTATTAAATCCGGGTTCAAGGCATCCACAGATCATGGGAAAATGAAATTCATAGATAGACATATTATGCATTAAGAATAACATTGTAAAGGAAAAGCCTTCAAGACATGCATTTTCAAGCCAGAATAACGTTGTAAAGGAAAAGGATTGGCTCGGTAAAAGATCAAAACTTACTTGACCAAGATCATCTTCTCCAACAGCGGCAAAAGGTACAATTTTGGCTCCAAATCTGGCTGCCATCCTGACAAACTCAGATTGTTCAGGCCAGAATAACTTGTATTCTTCACCCTGAGAATTATTAAAATGTTGGAGATTTTATACGAGCCTCATATATTTTAGAGCATAAATACAGAGACACAGATACAGTATTCCTCAAAAATAACCAAGCATAAAAATTCCCACATTAAATGTGAAAGTGATTCAATATGTCTGTAAAGAACCACTTCAATCCAAAAGTTTAAGCTGATTTTATATATCTCAACACGCCCTGTGCGAAGAAAGAAATTCCACTGCAAAGAAAGTGGGGGACGGTGAGGTTCGAACTCGAGACACGAGGCTCTGATACCATGTAAAGAACCACTTCAACCCAAAAGCTTAAGCTGGTGGGTGAGGGCTTTTTTAATGGTTTTATATATCTCAACACACTCCCTCACACAAGAGTCCACTGAGCTTAAAGAGTGGACAATGCACAAGCCCACCTACCTGTGCGAAGAAAGAAATTCCACTACAAAGAAAGTGGGGGACGGTGAGGTTCGAACCCGAGACACGAGGCTCTAATACCATGTAAAGAACCACTTCAACCCAAAAGTTTAAGCTGGTGGGTGAGGGCTTTTTTAATGATTTTATATATCTCAACGATGTCAATAATTTGCTTTTTTTTTTTATGTTGAGTAATTAAGGCCTTATTTTTTTAAAACCAGCAAGATACCCCGGTGTTTTATATGTATGCACTGTGTTCCACCTCAGACCTACTTAAGAACTTGGTAGATATTCTGAATATTATTTTCTGATGATCAACGTATAGAATTTATTTACATTATACAGACCTATATCAATAATTATTTACCTAAAATAGAGCTAAATCTAAGGAAACAAATAGGAAACAAATCTATCTTAATAATAACAGATAACCAATCTAAAATAATTAGATCATTCTTCCTGTTATATTTACAACAAACCTCTTCATTTGTCACAACCAGATGGACCAGATAGTAGACAAGATGGTGAATGAACTTACATTGTAATATTGAAGGCAAGTATTTGATATAAAATTTCAATTCCAATGTACTAAATACCTTCTCAGTCAACTAATTCGAGTAATTTTACGGTTATACGGTAAAGTAATTATCTTGTTCTCCAGCACATCTATGACCTATAACACTTCATTCAACTTCTTTTTTCTCTTTTTTCCCTTCAGTGAAATTTAAAATACAGAATAGTGATAACTCATTCAATTCATATTAGATTCACATGCTCTTTCCAAAATTTCTAACCCAGCTGAGCTGTCTACGTTTTGGTCCAAGACGGTATATACAAGTCATAGACCTTAGAAGGGGTCAAATGAGCAAATCCATGATGCCATGTGATAGATGAAACTCACTGGTAATTAAAAGGTCAAATGAGCAAATCCATGATGCCATGTGATAGATGAAACTCACTGGTAATTAAAAGAGTTTACTTAAAGGGAGTTACCTTTCTATGAAGGGCCTCGCGCATCCCTCCAGGATATAATAGGACATGAGACTTGGAAGAGAAAAGCTTAAAGAGGTTAGTTGCTGCTACAGGAACAGCACCCATAAGTCTGAATGTGTCATAAGAAGATATATCTGGCAGTTTTCCATTTTTTCTTCTCATAAACATCATTGGATGTGCCATCCCTCGAACAAGGATATTTCTTTCCATATAAATTCGAGTAACCAAGGGAACTAATTCCAACCCCAGCAGCATGTGGTACCCAACAAACAAAACAGGCCCCTCTGACGGAATTCCAGCAAGGCCCTTTACAATCGTTCCATCCTCCAAAGTCGAGAACATTACAGGACTTGTGACAACGTTAATCAAACTGGAAGCATAATAAGTGAAAGGTGGCAATGTTATAATTAGTTTGATTATACTACAATTTAATTAACTAGAATGAACAAAGATAAATTGACAGATATATGTAGTCAGCAAGACATCAACTTGTAGGATGAGCCCTCCTTGCGGTCTCCTACGTTTATATACTACGAATTCTTTTGTTATTTGTATTGATGGCTTATATGTCATATTTATCCTGTTATTTGTACCTGTATGATTCTATTACTTTTTTGGCTTCATCAGGTGTTGGCAGGATAAAATCTGATGCATAGTCATGATACTTTCCCCGGCGGTAGTAAGAAGTGCTTTTGATAATTGTCACCAGATCAATGCTTCCTTCCTGCTAATAGTGAACAAATGTACCAGATTAGGGTATGCTAAGACTTCCAACTGATATTTAAATTTTTTTCTCTAATCAGATGAATAGACCCATGATGCATGCCTGAATGCAAACACAAAGACAAGCATGTATGCAGAAAAGTAGAAATGGAGAAAATTGTACCAGGAGTAGGAAATGACCACGGCCATCAAATTTACGAAGCTCACATTTAGGCAGTAACTGAAGTAGTCTTTCACCTTCCTGTTGATTAGGTAGTAACTGATCGTTTCCACTAAAAGGACAAATGATTAAACTCAGTTTCACTATCCAGAAAGAATCGTACACTTGAAAAGGGAAATGTTCTGTGTATATGTGATATTAGGTGGGATTAATTTATTATCCTCAACAGGGATTCATTATTCAATTTGAGTTTGTTGAATAATGAAGGAACGAGAGACATGATGAAATTCATGTGTCTGAACATGAGGACAGAGGCATTATATAGGTTGGCTATAACAATTACATAACAATAATTTAACAATGTAGGACTTCATCCCTCACAGTATTATCACCCTATTTGATATTTCCAACAAGGTTAATGCAGAAATTAGATAAAAGGAATTGCAGTAAGTGTTAGAAATATACTATAAAATATAAACCATTCATCTGCCTTTAACTACCAGTTTAAACTTTTGAATTGAATTGGTTGCTTGATATGGTATAAGAGTCTCTGTGACTAGGTCCAGAGTTCGATCCTTGCTGACCCTCATTCTTCTAATGAATATTATGAAATTTTTTAGCACAAATAAGTGGACCTATACATTAGTTGATAAGTCCATGATTTGTGACTTAGAACATATGGTTTGATGTTAAAATGGAAATGAAAAGGATATCTTGTGTGTAATATAAACCCCAAATTGCATAAAAAATGAATGATTCTGATTTTAATTGCTAATGGGCTGATAGTTGTATTTTTCAGGCCCAATTGTTATTTCCACAAGCAAAGCAAAGAAAGAAAAAGCTTGGGCTGGAGTTTTTTACCTTGCTGATCAGAAGCCCAACTTGAAGAAAAGAAGAAGCAAAGGAAAAGAGAAAGAAATGGGCCAGAGGAGACAAAGCAAAATGGGAGAAGCCCAAATCAGAAAAGAAAGAAAGAAAAGAGGTGGAAAAAGAGTGACTCATAAACGTGAAAACAAAAATCAGAAAAACCGATACTTGCAAACCCTAGCCCCTGAAACCACCTCCATCCAGACCCTCATCTCAACCGATCCATCTGAATCCTTTCACCACTCCAGACCGTCCTTGGATTTCGGTCGAAACCACCAAACCTTAGCCTCACTCACGGTTCATGTTGTGATTAAACCAACCAAAACACCAACCCTAACCGAATTTTTGTGCGATACAGAAAAATCCAAACACGTCCCTCAATCGATTTGGTGAGCTGGAGCTTGTTAGTAGTGCTGGCTGGAGATTCCTTTGGAGTGCGTTCGCTACTCGTGCAAAGGAGACGCACGATCGAGAGGAGCGTGGAGCATACGTACGGGTTGATGTGTGACCTGCTTTGCATGAAGGAAGATCAGTTATAAAAGGAAGGGAAAAAGCACCGTAGGCTCTCCTTCTTCCTCTCTGAGTTTTCTTTCTCTTTGGATATTTTTATTTTACTGTTCTGTTTTTAGGGTTTTTGAATTTAGTAATTTTGTAAGCACTGTTTCAGAGCTATCTTGCTGAAGATAGCTTCTGCCGTTTAATTTTCCTAGTTGTACGTTTTTATTTTCTGTCTTGTTATGGACCCTTGCTGTTTGTATGTTCATCAACCCTTGGTGATGAGCTAAATTTCTTAGAGTTGGGTTGAAAGAGTACCTGGAACTCATTTGTTATTAGTTGATGTTTTAAAGTTTAAAGAGTTGATTTCCAGTTTGTTTACTGTGTGTTTGTTATGCTGAGTTTATTATGTGATGGCCACACATAGGCTACTCCTAGTGGTGTGGAATTATTGGGAAATAATCCACATTAGACCCCACTGTAAGCACATGAAAAGTTGAGAGAGATCTCTCTCAATGGGTATGGCATCAGGGATGAAGTCACCCCCATGTAACTTAAGGAAATGGTACTTCAAGGTCTTGTGATAACAGTGACATAGGGATATGTCATCTGTTGTTATTGGAAGAAAACTGTTGTTGGGAAACAATGGTTATTTTAGTATTTTCGTTACGCTGGAAGCAACATCTATTTTCTGTCAAAGCAACCTAATGGCAAATGAGGGAAGGGGAAATTGATACCCAACTTGCTTCCAAACTCTGTTTTTAAAATCAATTTTTGTCACTTGGTATTTTTGCTCAATTCAGAATTTAATTTTCTGTTTTAAAACTTAAGAGAAAATTATAAAAAAATTTACAAGTCTTTTAGTTAATTAATTTTCCAGTCAGTAGTTAAAGATTCTTTCAACAACTAAAATCACTATTTTAAAAAGAAAATCTTCACAAAAAGAAAAATATTTTCAGTACACTTGAGTTAGAATAGCAGTAGCACTTAATTTGATTTTATTTTATTGTTGGTTCTGATTAGCAATTACAAATTTATTCCAAGTCTAAATCGCCAAAGATCTTTGTGGGAACGATAACTGGGAACCATAAAAGCCCTATATTACTTGTTGTCGCGTATACTTGCGCGCACACTTGCATAACTGTTAGCAAGGCAACATTAGTCACCCTTCAAATCCAATGAATATAATATAAAATATAAAATTAGTCATCTGCCTTCACCTAACAACTTAAACTTTGGGTTGAATTGATTTCTTGACAGTCGAGAATGGAAAATCCTACTAGGTTCATTATAATGTAGTCTTGTTTTCATATATAAAAGATCATTTTGATATCTGACAATCAATTTCTTCTAACATTTAAGATTGTATTTCTTGGCCAGATTAACCCATAGCAATTTACCAGTAACTGGTTTATAGGTCTTTAAATTCTTCAGTTAACAGATTCCCCACATTGAAGATTAACTAGAAGTTTAGCAGTTTCACAAAAGCTAGTTGATCTAGTTGTTTCCATCATGAAGATAATGGTTTAGAGGTAAAAACTTTTCAAGAAATTGGTTGTTAGCACTCTTTCTTTTCTCTTCTTTTCTTTTTATAATAGCATTTCTGCTAAATGTGCAGGAAACTAAAATTTATCATGTTGAGATATATAGTCCCACATTGGTTGTATGTGCAACTAATGTGGAGTTTATAAGGCCTTGGGCACTCCCACCCTTTGAGCTAGCTTTTGGGGTGGTGTATCTCAAGGTTCTTTACATGGTATCAGAGCTTGAGTAACTATAAGGTCACCGCTCCCCACTTTAAAGTGGAATTAAAATAAAAGCTAGCTCAAAGGGTGAGAGTGCCCAAGGCCTTATAAACTCCACATTAGTTGCACATACAACCAATGTGGGACTATATATCTCAACATATCAAAGTACATATGATTCCATGTTATGATATAAAAGATTGCAATATTGAAGAGCATGAACCTGCAAAGTATCAAAGTCTGAGCTTTGATAGCATAAAGGCGTGAATGGGCATAGGCAGAAGCTGACTTAAGCATCTTTAGTTTCCAGAGAAGTGTTTCTTTTGGTAATATATCAGCAAGAACCTGGGAACTCAATCAAAATAGAAAGTAAATGAAGGGAAATGTCAATTTGAGCACCAACAAGCCTAGGTAAAGAAAACACAGTTATGCCCATCCATTTTCTTCAAAAGTCCAGCATATTCCACTTTTACCAAGTTTTCGTTACAAGAAAGAAGAAAATAAGCAATCCAATTTCCGATTTAGATTTCTTCTGGAATATGCCTCAAACAATGTCATCAATACAAATACAAAATGCTTCACATATTCAAAGCATAAAGAAAAAGTCAAACACTGCTGTTCCAATAGGAATGTCTTTATTTTTTGAACAAAAACAATAATTGAACCTTACAGGCAGAGATGATGAGAAAGTAGTAAAATCCTCCATTAGCTCTCTAGCTGTATTTTGTAGAGGAAGTCCTTTCACCACATTATCCAACACCATCCTCAGAGGGTCACCTAATGTTGCAAAAAAAGTTGAAGGCATAAATGGAGAGAGGCACCATTTCTTTGGTAAATGATAAAGACAGAATATAGGTGCTTGATCTATGATAAATGATCTTTACCTAAAAATTATACGGTGCTTAAGGATCAACACCAATATCAATAACACCTTTGTCCCAAGCTAGTTAAAGTCAGTGTATAAAGTGCTTAAGGATATTGAAGTAAAAAATTTAACATAACTCCCGAATGACATTGAAGTTAAGTACATGCCGATTTAATTCACTAAAAAACTATGATTCATGAATCTTCAATTAAAAATTAGCAGAAGCAACAAAAGTGGGAACATAAAGGCATGAAACATTTATGTGGTAAAGAAAGAATATTAGATCCACAACAATCTCACAAGACTTAACCATGCAGCATAAATGCCATGAAAGCAGATATGCATGGAAATGATATTAATGATATGTAAGACATAAAATCCATTAACTTTTCTCATTAACGGATTCAAAGAGAAGTAAAGATTATAAGAAAGGAATCATGCCTATAATTTGAAGCATTGAAAACAACCAGAAACCTACAATTGTCTAAGCTAAAGTTACTCACTACTGAGACAACTGTCTGGTAATACAAACAACCTAACAATTGGAGCCTTTCCTCAAGTCCCCAGCATCAGGCTGTGTGTTTCAAGAGTACTCCCTTTTCTAAATCGATTACCATTTTTCAGTATTAAATAAAGGATCTAATACTTTTTTTTTATATTTGCAATTTTTTTTGGCTTGCATAATGATGCAAAAGTAATTCAAGATATAAAAAGCTCTTAAGATGGAAGTTAGATCCAAACACATCTGACATGAATCTTGAGAAAATAGTTAATAAAAAAAAAAAAAAGCATAACCTTGCAGATCAAGATAAACAAACCTGCTGTCAAACTGAGAATGATAGGCAGGCCACGAGGGAGTGGGCCAGGTAAAGCTTCCAATAATGGTGTAAGAAGTTGCAACTGTGACCTGCTGAACGAAGTAGCTGCCAAATTGGGTGGTGAAGGTGAATATCAGGTACTTTGAACGTCTTTAACTGATGTGCTGTTACAGCAAATCAACTTGAATATTGCATAGGAACTTTCACTCAAAGCTCAAGCTAAGGAACACATGTTCAACACACCATTGCCAATGAATGACATCATTTTGAAAACACTAACCCCCACCATATTCATAAGGAACAACTAAGATGAGTTTCAAGGCAAAAGCTTGGTTTCATTAATTATAAGACTAGCCATTAACATATTGATAGGACACCAGCAATAAGGTGTACTATAGGAAAAGGTGCAGAGGGTCATTCTATAATGCTAAGCCAGCAAGGTTGTTAGAAAAGAATATTATGCAAGGTGTGAAGGAGAACTTTGTTAGCAACGTGGAACAACAACCTCCTGCATAAAATTGGAATAAATAGAGAAATGGGGGCGAATGAAATATAGGCTGGAACTAAGTTTGGACTTGGGAGAGATCAAGGCCTCTCCAATTGCTCTGAGACATTTTTCTTGGTTTCTGCATATTTTCTTTTTCTGTGTAATTTTCCTTCTCTGTTTGAGTTGTATTGAAACATGTTGTATTCATTTGAATCAGCCACAATTAATACATAATTTTCTATCTCTTGTTCTCAATTCCTTTTTGTTCTTGTCTGTTTCGTATCACATATCTGTAATCTAAAACCTATTCTTCATTGTTGGTAAACATGAGAAAGATGATAGCCCTGGGTAAGAACCAACATGATCCAAAACCTAATCTCCAAATCAAGGCTAAGCCAAATATATACATTATTTTAATTTCTACTCAATGTGTGACTCTTTTCTTCAACATTGTCTTGCATTCACTCACTCACATCACATGTGAACAACTCTAAGACTCGGAGCTCTCCTTTACCAGAACAGTAATTGCCAAATTTTGAAGATCAGCATATACATTCAGCAGTGAATTAGTAATTCATCATGGCTACTGGAGATTTTCTGAAGTTCAACTCATTTTCAGTCATGTTTAAATTGTCTTAATTTAACTATTTCTGAACAATAAAATCAAAGAGTTTAAATCTTGTCTACAATACTAACAGTTACCTGGGTTTGCCAAAATTAGTACAAGATCAATATCAGGGTTACGGGCTGCAACGGCCAGCGCAAGGCATCCTCCTAAAGATTCTCCAACAAGATATATGGGTCTATTTGGTGATCGTTGATTTTCTGACCTAACTGTTCTCTCAACTATTTTCAGAAGGTCTGCAACATAGAAATATACAGAACAATAAATTATGCTGGAGTACACCACTCAAAGACAACATCATTTTTATGAAAATATAAGGAAGGGAAACATGTGATCCCATTTTCAACACAATAAACATGCTCTTAACCATTTATAGAGCAAAAACAACAGAAACTAACGGTTAGTAGTTCAATGTAAGCACAAAATAGTATGATGAGGTACTGGGAAAGAGAATGACCTATAAATGGTGTTCGATCAGCAACTGGAATATGCAAGCACCATATATCAAAAATCCTTCATTCAAGAAAAAAGAACAAAAAGAGTATTTCTTACATATCAGTTGACAATATAAGAGTAAAAACTAGCTAGAAGAAACCCATTGGCTTCAAATTCATCTTATCAACTAAAAGGTGGATTTCTAAAATGACAATTTGTGAGTGCACTTAGGCCTTATCATTATATGCACACAAACCTTCCCAGTTTCTGATGATGTAAAATAAGTCCAAGACCCACGCCATCAATCCCTGTAAAATTATAATGCAAGTAATTTATACAAATAAATTTATGTGTAACCTTGTTGCTTGGTACAAGGACACAAAGAATAGATACTCAATTTTTTTTTAATCTTCAGAGATAATTAACATGACAAGATATTTCGACTGGAGCTTAACTAAGGAGCCAAAAATACATATATAAAGACTTGGACAACTTTTTCAACATTTATTTTGGGCTAAAGCCATTTTTCTTTCATAACGTTTAACTGGGATTTCAAACAGTATTTCAAAACTAAAAAAATTATAAAATTTACATACTTTACAATAATACTAATAAGGCTAAAATATATTTTTGTCTCTATACATGACATCTGTTTTTAATTTGATCCATATGCATATTGTTGAGATATATAAAATCATTAATATAGTCTCACCCAACAACTTAAGTTTTGGGTTGAATTGCATGGTATCAGAGCCTCGGTGTACCGAATTTGAACCTCACCGCCCCCAATTTTCTTTCTTCGCATAGGTAGGTGGACCTGTGCATTGTCCACTCTTCATGCCCAGTGGGCTCTCGTGTGAGGAGGCGTGAGATATATAAAATCATTAAAAAGCCCTCACCCACCAGTTTAAACTTTTGGGATGAATTGGTTCTTTACATGGTATTATAGCTTCGTGTCTCGTGTTCGATCCTCGCCGCCCCCCACTTTCTTTCAAGTGGAATTTCTTTGTTAGGTAGGCCTGTGTATTGTCCACCCTTCAAGCTCAGTGGGCTCTTGTGTGAGGGTGCGTGTTGAGATATATAAAACCATTAATATAACCTCATCAAACAGTTTAAGCTTTTGGGTTGAATTGGTTCTTTACACCTATAATAATTTTCAATTTTTGGTTCTTACATTTCTTGCTATTATTTGGAGTTTTTTTTTTGGTAAGCTATTTGGAGTTAATAATACAGTAAACTGTAGGGAGCAAATTAAGAATGTGTCATGTATAGGAACCTTACAGTCATTTTTAATTTGGCCCTTATACATGACAATAATTCCATGTCAATCTCATGCGTTATAACAGGAACTGTTGGTGACGGCTGACATTGAAAATGACTGTAAATATAAAGACTAAGTTAAATTTTTTAATACAAAAACCAAATTGAAAATGAGTGTCAAGAATAAAAATGTATTGGCAGGAGATTGCAAAAAGACCTAATGCCATGTACCCGTTAACAATTTAATTGGCAGGAGGAGATAGTGGCACGTAGCAAGAATGGTTTGATTTCTACGAATGCTTTTGATTTTGATTTTATTTTTTCATACTATTTCCTTTTACTTCTTCGTGCTCCAATAGGGGGTTTGGGCTTAAACGAAAGTTAGACATGATGCTACTTTTTTTAGACAAAAAAGTCACTAAATTATGGGAAGAAGGTAAAAATAAAATAAAAAATTGTCCCATTTTGAAGTCGCACTCACATTACATTGACCAGGCAGCTACGAGATATATTTTTTTTAACCGAGAAAAAAATATTGTTAGAGATTTGGTAGGAATTTTTTTATCCAGAGTAAGTTACAAAAAAGTGTTTGGTTGGCCAAAATTTTGCAAGAAAAGTTGGGTTAATTTTACTGATGCTATGTTTAGTTGATGGTAAAATATTGATGAGAATGTGAATGAAATTATCAAAATACCCTTAATTTTTTGAATATGCCATCATCAAATGTTGCTTTTTTTGGAAAAAAGTGAATCAAATGTACTTTTTGAGAATCCAAGATCAAGGAAAAAATAAATACCAAAGATTAAGTGGGACAAAAATTTGCCTGTGTAGTTCAAAAAAAAAATACCGGATAAAAAAATTCGGTGGCATTTTATTCACAATACTCATACCAAACATGATAAATAAATATTCTCCACTCCACTTCCTATCATTTCATATCAAATACTCCTACCAATCAGCCCCTGACCGTATATGAACAAATGGAATAGCCGCCACTCCAGCTGAAAATGAATATTACTAATGCTGGATAATTTTGGTGTTTTAGCTTCTCTGTATTCAGTACGCCATCTTAGAAATTCATTTTAATAGAAAGTGGCTTTTAAGCTTAAACTAGTTTAACATCTATGTGCTACTAGCCCAGTGCCGCTTTTTCTATTGTAATAATTAATAAATTATACTTTGACCTGAAACAATTTAAAATAAATTTTATTTATAACTAAAACAATATTTAAACTGCTACTTTAAAAATTTAATTTAATATAAAAATAAAAAAGTATAATTAATAAAATATTTTTTAACCTACTCTATAGTTCTTATCTTAAACAGAAAAAATGTGTAAAGATCCTAGCAATTAATTATTCGTACAAATTTAGGTAAGTAATATCTATATCTGTGTGTGTGTTTTTACTTTTTTATTTGTGTCTCTCATATTAAAATTTTTTTCTTATATAAATTCATGTGCGATCTAATGATTTTAAATGTTGGGTTTTCTTTATTGTGTATAGAATATTTATCTACCTATAACCACACAAGTAGCTTGATGTCTGTAACAAAAAAATAAAAATGCTACAAAAATGCATCATAACTTTTTTTTACTAAAAGTACCATATTTATAATTAATAAGCATCATATTACTATATAAATTTAAAGCTTTTTTATATGTTTTGTTTGCAAACATTGGGAATCTAGTATAGTGATAGGTTTTGTACCCACTAAATGAGTATAATTTGCTGTTAAGCTTATCGGAGCTTTATTATGATATCTATTTTTTCAAAAGTAATGCTCCATAGTAAAAATTTGATAAAATTCGACAAAAATTTATTATGATTTAAAGATGATTATTGAATCCAAATTCTTATAATTTTATAATAATTTTACTATGTAATTTTTTTTTTAAGTTTAATCAATATAATTTTATTTTACAATCCATTTGACTTATCTATAATTTTAAGTAAAAACATATAAATGTAGCATTAATTTAGTGGCGAGGGATTTGAGTAATTTATATGAGGTTGTAAATTTGAAACTCAATGTTACCATTAGAAACTTAAGCATCCACCATTGTTAATTTAACGAACTTCTATTACCTAGAATATATATATATATATATATATATATATATATATATATATATATATTACGTAGACTTTATTATTTTATAATTATTTCATTAGAAAATGAAAAAATATTTATCATTTTAAATGACATAATTTTGTATCATTTTATATGAAACGATAACGTTTTAATACATACTTGATGTTTTTCATATTCCTTTTCCTCCACAAAATTAGGAGAACAAATAAAAAGAAAGTATTGTGGATATGAGAGAAGGTAAAAAACTACTAAAATACAATAATTTTAGTTAAAATGACAGGAAATTGTGACAAATACTTTTTCCTTGTTTGATTAGAAAAATTATTATTCTAATAAAATAACTAAACCTTTATTAAAAACTTCAAAGTTACATAAAAATATCTTGATATTAATATCATTATTTAATATGTTATATTTTATCAGTCAAATGTATAAAAATTAATTAATTAAATTAAATGAATGATATAAAAATATTTTTTTATTAGTACTGACAAGTATGAAATGAAAAACAGTAAGATTTATAAATAAATAAACAAATATGCTTAAAAGGTATTTTATATATATATATTTCTTTTCTATTAAAAATTATTATATCTAATAAAGTATATATATTTTTATATATCAAGTATACGTATTTTTTTGTTTATTATAAATCAATTCACTTTTATAGTTATTTGTATAAAATTTTTCAATAACAATAATAATAAATTAAAATTTAAAAGGATGAAAAATATGATAAGTAAAGAAATATATGTAAGAGAGAAATGAAGAGGAATAAAATAAAGTTATATTTTAAAAGAATTAAAAAATAAAAAACTTAAAAAATGTCATGTAATAATTTTTGCAAAACAAATTTTACCCCAATATTTTATAATGAAGCTATTCAAACTCAATTTTTGTAAGTGTAAAACATTTATGAAGGTACTAAAACATCTAAAAAAAATCCAATTCTACTGTTACACAAAACATAAAATTTTGTCGTAAATAAAAAATTCAAAGAAAAATATCCTGATATTCCAAATTGGTATACTTTTACCATTCAAATTTACGTGAAGAGTGAATCTCAAAAAATTAATTTATTTTAATACCGTTAAAATTTAATCCAGCAGAACTTTCAATTCAAGAACGTTAAACTCATGTAGTCAGCATCATAAACAATAAGGTATATGCAATACGAAATATATAAAAACATTCATGAAATGTTAAACAAATATTAAGTTAAAGCAATTAATGATAAATCAGTTTAACATATTAATTCAACTGATTGAATTAGATTTAATCATTACAATAACCGTACTAGGGTAAATTCAGGTTTACAAAGGGAAATACTTTAGTTTCGGAAAATTGAATATCTATGTAATAAGATTGACAAATTCACGTGATGGCATAGCCAAAAATGCTAAAATGTGACGGATTTTATTAGAGTTATGTTGTAAGAAAGATGATTGTGTTATGTTATAGAGATTTATTTTGCGTGCCGTAATTATTATTTTTCAAAAAACATACGAGTCCCACAAAATATTGAGTGGGTAGGAAACTTTTTGTGGCCATGTTAAATGATGAACGTAAATCCCAAAAAATAAACATAAAATTGGAGCACTCCTAAAAGAGAATAATATAATAAAGTAAATAAACAAATAAATCACAATATGTAAATAAATTAGACATAAAGAGTATAATATTTTTTCATATTATATTTTTATATAATAAATTTATTTCTATAAAAATATATGATGCCTATCTGAATTTATGTGAAAAGAAAAAAAAAATACAAATTATAAATTGATAGCCTAAACATATTTTTATGTGTATATAAAACATAAATTTATATCCTCAACGTTAAACCCATAAATAACTAAAAAGAAAAGGAAGTATGATTTTAAACAACATAAACTTATGTTTTTTTAGATTATTTACACAAAATATGATCAGTCATACTTTTCATAAATAAAAAAATTTGGGACATGTAAAATGAAAAAAATAATTTTTTAAATTTATATAAAATATAACCGGTGGTACTGACCCATAAATAAAACAATTGAGAAAGAAAATGACTGACCCGGTAAGAAGAGTAGCAGAGGAGAATTGTCCAACCGCGAACCGCATTCCAACGGCGAAAACCACCGTGGCGGTCCACCGTCCGGTTCAATCAACTCCTTCGATTGCTCTAAGTAATCCTTCCAACCGCTCCTCCGCTGCTTCTCCTCCTTCTCTTCCTCCCACCGCTTCTCTTTCTCCACCGCACCACTTCCTTTCTCTTGCTTCACCTCCGCTGCCGGACTTTCTTTCTCCGCCGAGATTGCCGTCGCCGGAACCCGGTCGACGGACGTGGCGAAGCGCGGAGCCATGCTCGGGATCCGGCAGGACTTCAACTTCCCGACCGACGACGGCGGCTCGCGGCGGAATAGCGGGGAGGAAGTGCCGGGAAAGAGAGACACTCCGGCGGCGGCCATGGTAGGTGAGTAGCGCGGCTGCGGGAGATTCGATTCTAGAAAGCGTTTGAAGCAGTCGCAATAATAGTAATAATAATAAAGACAAATTGGAAATGATTATTGTGTGAATGTAATTAGGACAGAATCATTGACAGAATGAAAATCTGAAGTTGGAAGTGAAATATATATATGCATAGGGCATAGGGTATAGGAAGGATATTCTCACTATCAAAATTTTTTACTACTAACTTACTATTTATCTAATCATCATTAAATCAAAGAGAGAATGTTAAAAAGTTTTTGAAGAGAGAGAAAATGCTAATCCAATGGTGATTAGATAGGTAGTAAGTTGATAGTAGAAAATTTTGATATTGAGAATATCTCTTCTCACTTATATAATATTAATTTTCTAAGTATATAAATAAATAAAAAAATGTATATTATTTTAAAGAATACAAAGTTCTGTCATTTTTTATGACAGAAATAAATAAATCATGGGTGAGAGAGTGGAGAGAAAAAGTTTTAAAAATGTGAATTCCACCTTGTTGTAAAAATGAAAGGACGTAAGGTGTGTCATTTAAAATGACATATTATTTTTTTATAAATAATATAACAGTGGAAAAATATGACAGCGCTTCGTGAGTGGGTGGTGTTGTAGTCTTCGGGATTCGTGTATGTGTGTCTACCCTGTCTGTGTTGCGTAACGTGTGCGGTTTGTTCCTGTACACGCAAAAATTAATTTTTGAATATTTTTTGAGTTTTGGTCGGGTGTGTATATAATGACAGAGTCACAAGAAAAATTCGGTCAATGTTAAAAGATTTATAACAAAGAATTCAGTCAGTATCAAAATTATATAATTATTAAAAATTTAATCAATACTAAAAATCTATACATTTTTTAAAAATTTGCTGGTGTGATCGACTTACATATAAGTGGCGGAGTGTATAATTATATTAATGCATATGCCAAGGGATATTTATTATTATTTTTTATTAAACCAACTTATTATAATAGAGAAGAATATATTTACAAATTTTTTATTTACAAATTACACTATGTCTGACCGGTAATATACTCTTGAGTAGAGTATTACCATCAGACATAGTGTAGTTTGTAAGTTTGTAAAAAAAAAGTTTGTAAACAGATCTTTTTCCTATTATAATAAATAAAAACACAATATTTATCGTATGGATGCATTATTAAGGGACGTTTGATAGAGTAAATATATTTTTACATGAAAAAAAGATTTTTAGAAATATGATGAGAAATTTTTTTCTGGTAAGTTATGAAAAGGGATTTCGTATACCAAAAATTTTTCAAAAAAAATGGATTTATTTTACTGATGTTATGTTGGTTGATTGTAAAATATTGATACGAATCTGAACCGAAATAACAAATTATCTATTTTTTGCATAGGCCCAACCTATGCAAAAAACATTAAGTCTAGCCTGTTTAATAAGTTTAAACAGGCTAACAGGCCTAGACCAAAGCTTTTATTCTTTAAATATAGGTCAGACCAAGGCTAACAGACCTATATTAAGGGACGTTAGGTAGAGTAAATATTTTTTTTTAAGGGAAAAAAATATTTTTAGGAATATGATGAGAAATTTTTTTCTAGTAAGTTACAAAAAAGGGTTTTGTATACCAAATTTTTTTTCGGGAAAATTGGATTAATTTTATTGATACTGTGTTGGTTGATTATAAAATATTGATGTAAATCTGAACCGAAATAACAAATTATCCATTTTTACTAAGGGTGTAAATAGGTTCGGCCTGTGCAAAAAACATTGAGTGTAGCCTGGCTTGTTAGCTTGTGTAGGCCGCAAATTACAAGTCTGGTCTGACCTATATTTAAAGAATAAAAGCCTTGGTCTAGGCCCGTTAGCCTGTTTAAACCTATTAAACATTCAACAATTAAAAAATAACTAAAATAATATTATTCTATTATTTAAAATTATTAAAAGAATAATTATATTTATTTATTTTAAAATAAATAATATGATATAGGCCGATCTGTAGACTTATAGGTCCGACATGTACAAAAAAGCCTATGACTTATTTGCTAAATAGGTTTTTATAAAAGTCGAGATCTGTTCTATTTTACTATTTGTAATAGGTCAAATCTGGCCTAATATAGGCTAGCCATATGCCCCTGTAGGTCGGCCTAACTCATTCACATCCCTAATTTTTACACATCTTCTGATATATTGTATAAGGGCATTTTTGTCTCAAAATGTAAAAATGCATTTTTCAGTTGGTGGGAAAAAAAATAATACCTTAAGTGAGACGAGATTATTATTTTTTTCATGTGTAGTTAAAAAATGAGAATGGTGGGGAAAAGATTATTCTGAATTTTTTTTTACTTTTACTCATACATAATAATAATAAAAAATCTCCATCCCACTTTCCCAACATTTCAACCAAAAAACACTTGTAACAAACATCCCATTATAATAGGAATTTTATCTTAAGAGTTACGATATAAATTGACAAAACTTTATAATAGGACAATTTCAGTCCACCCCACATCTTTTGTGTTTCACTTTGAATTTTAGCCCCACACGCCACACCGAAGTTTTGGGGTGCCATTGTATAAAGGGTTTTTTTATGAGATAATATTTCTTATGCTTTAGACACAACAAGTGATAGGTCCCACCAGTTGTTAAAAAAATAAAAAATAAAAAATAAAAAGAAAATAGCACAAATTTTGATGTCTCACAACATGAGAAAACAATCCCCAACATGAGAAACTGATTTCCCTAGTATAAAACCCTAAAATAAAAGAACATACAAAGCTAAAAGTCAGACGTTTCTTTTGAAAAACATTTTTCCCTGAACATTTTGTTCCTTTGGAAAGTAAGCAAATGACAAAGGAAATAAAAAAATCTTTTTGATAAAATCTTATGAACTTTTCAAGATTTAGATCTATAAGTCCTTTCTAGAATGAGTGCTAGTTTGTGAAATTGAAGTTGAGATTTCATTATGAGAATTCAACTTTGCATCGCATGTCTAGGCAGGTTATATTTACAAACTTTTTTATTTACAAACTCTTACAAACTATATTATGTAGGTTCGGTCCTATATTAATCACACAGTGTCCGACCGGTCTTACATTAGTGTAATTGCAAAAAAAAATTGTAAACGAATCTTGTCGCGTCGTACTAATACTATTTAATTTAGCTTTATGTTTTCATCCAATAAAAATGGGCTTTTTGACCCTTATGACCTTTAATTAATAATTAATTATCAAATTGCCCTTCGTTCAAAACTATTTCAAAAATTTACCCTCCCCAACAAACATAACACCAATCTGCCCCTGTTTGACCGTTGACCACGAAGCCTACCCGGGTACACCCCTCCCTACCCTGGTATTTTTTGAAATTTTTTATCTACCCGGGTAGAGAGGGGTGTACCCGGGTAGAGTTCTTGAATCTGAAAAAAATGGTTGAATTCGTTACCCGGGTAAGAAGGGTTGTACCCGGGTAAACATCCAGAGTAGCGTTTTTATATAAATGAAAAAAACTGTGACAGACATGGTTCATGGACGATAGCAACGAAGATCCAAGGCTTCCTCGCCATGGCAGCCCTAATGAATTTGTTTCCATCAACCAATTAGCAGGTCATTACTCTCTCTCTCTATCTATCTATAGTTTTACTTAGTTGTGACGTTGCAGAAAAATGGTGAGTTTTGCAGAATTGGGACTCTTATACTGGAAGCTGAATCCAAATGATGTTGAGGAAGATTAGAGAAACTAGAGGATACAATTACATGGTAATGTTGTATTAATTTTTTACTAATTTCATTTTGTTTTCTGTAATCAGAAGGTGCTTCAATTTTTTGCGTTTTCATTAACATGTAACAGGGGCAGATTGGTGTTATGTTTTCTGAAGGGGTTAAATTTTCGAATTAGTTTCAAATGAAGGTCAAATTGGTAATTAATTATTAATTAAAGGTTATAAGGGTAAAAAAGCCAATAAAAATGTAACAACATCAACATGCACGAAGTTTTAGAATATGTTAGAAACGAATTCTCAATTAGTACGATAACCAACATATTATGTATTCAAAATCAATTCTGATTATGGTCACATGCGCTCAGTTCTAGCGCCAGAAGTTCATTGCATTCATTTAATATCTGTTTTTTTCCTTTTTTTTTTTTTTGGTAAGCTGTTTTTTTTTACCTTTTTTTTTTTTTTTGGTATCCTTGTTTTTTTCCCTTTAAATCGCCACAACTATATATATATATATATATATATATATATATATATATAAAAGGAAAAGTGTTTGTCATTTTAAATGACATAAAATTATGTCATTTTAAGAGAGAGATAGATACAAAAATATTAAAAATTTAAATTAAAATAAAAAATCACTCACTTTCTCTCCCATGATTTTTACTTTTTGTGTCTATTTCTCTCTTAAAATGACATAACTTATGTTATTTTACATGACAAACATCAAACTCATATATATATATATATATATATATATATATATATATATATATGGGGTAGGATATTCTTACACTGGTGTAAGAGTTAGAAGTCTTACACTCAATCTTGACCATTGATTCACTTGTATCCAATGGCTTACATTACTAAACAATTTGAGCCCTTAGATATAAATGGGATCAGTGGACAATATTAAGAATGTAACTTACTCTGGTGTAAAATGATCCTAACCCTATATATATATATATATATATATATATATATATATATTTGTTTAAATTTTATTAATCACGCATCTTTTAGCGGAAAGAAAAAAGAAAGCTACTATCTTGACCAAAAAAAGAAAAGAAAGCTACTGAACAATAAATGTTTGCTCAAAAGATTGATGCCTTCTTAGTCCTATTCTAGATCGATCGAGGGCCAGTTTTGGAAATTGATGTTGAGATTTCATCATTAGAAATCAAGTTTGCGTAGCGTGTTCTATCAATACGGATTAATTTTGTTTTATATCTGTTAACCGTTTAAAATTTCAAATCTATTGAGAAAGTCAAAAATCTATAGCAGAGAAAAAAAAGCCACTGAACAATAAATACAGCGAAAAAAGCCACTAAATAATAAATGTTCTCAAAATATTGATGCTTTCTAATTGCTATTCTAGATGGAGACATAAGATTTCAGCGCTCGCTCTCTTTCTCAAAAACAAAAATATAACTTACCGTTTGAACTCCGGTCATATTTTAAATTATCACCTTATACATTTAATTATTTCAATTAATTATTTTATATTTTGTAATGATAAAAAATTAATATATCTGTTAAAATTTTGAATAACATATTATCCGAAATCT